GCGCTGAAAAGCGTCTGCTTGAGTCATTCATGCTTGCTTGTGCACTTTATTACTAGTTGGGAATTGTGTGCGGTAAATGCAGTCTTAGTTCAGCATATGCACATTGAAGAACTAAATTCTACTAACATATTTAGACAAATCCACGCCAAACGCGGGATATTGAAAAATCATTGCAAATACTAGTGTGTTGCATGTGTCTTACTAGGTTCTGTGCAGCACAAATTTCGTTCAGGAAAGCTTGTTGTTTTAGCAGGCAGCGTGGCAGTGGTCAAAGCGTATGAAATGTGAGCAGAATTGCTTTTGGTATTGGCCAAGGTTTGTAAGTTGACAGACGAGGAGGATTTGCGCATCAGAGATGAGAAATCGATGTGTAGGCGGAGCAGAAGATGATTGCTTTATGGTTCATGTCCTTGTGCCGGTCTCTCACAAAGATGATTTACAGGCAATTGAACGAGGAGAGCATTAGTGATGAAGACTATGAAAACACTTTTTAGCAACAAAACATGCGAGAACAGCACGACTTCTGTGAAACCAAAAGTTTCATTCTTGACTGATATTTTCAAAACTTCAGAGATGTATGTGTGAATTCTTAGTGCTTAGACCCTAGGGGGAAAGTTGATCATGTGCTGGGCCTTTTCTGGGCCAACATTGAAAAACATGTTCTGTTCAACCGATTTCCGCAAGCAAGAATGACATTTTTGGCGCGTGCACGTAGGTCAGACCAGAAAGGTGTTGAAACAAGCAACATTTTTGGAGCCCACAGTAGCCCCCACTCAGTCCAGCAAAGTGACATCCAAATTTTTACCCATGTGGTGAACTTACCCCCTAAAAAGGGGTACCAAAAAAAAGGACGCACCCATATCTTCCTCCCCTTTTTTGGCTGCGCCGAAAGTTCAGGATTTGGTAGATATGATAGCCTATATCGTGTCTATGGTCACTCGCTTTCAGATGTACGGTCAAAACTCATGGGCCTATGGCTCCCTTAATGGGAACCCTTATGATGGTGGCCTAAAATCCCGACTGGGTCTGTGACCATCCCGTAACAACCACGGGACATGGTGTGGTTTGACCATGGCACATAGCAGGGTAGGCTTGATTTGGAGTCCAAATCCTGAAAAAGACACTCCCGAATGGTTAACCCCAAGGGGTCCAATTTTCTTGGGTTCCCAAACTCACTGAAGTCCTTTGCCGAAAGTCCACGGGGCTATATAGCAGGCTAGGCCAGGCTTGGAGTCGGAAAACCCCCCCCCAAAAAAAAAACACCCAAAGCTCAAAACTGGTCCTGGCTCATGAGATGCAGAGGTCGCACCACATGCCCCTGGGTCAGGTGCGGCCAGCGCGGGGACCAGCTGGGCAAAGCGCTCCCACCTCCCCGCAGGAAGTGGTCGATGGCTTCGTCCAGGCAATCCCCTTACTGAACAACTCCCAGGTGCGGCCCGACTCAGCTTCCCTCAAAAGGCTGAGGTAGTTTGGTGGTTTGGCGATTTTGGTGCTGTGGTTAAGGGTGCTTTCACTTCCCTCTGCTTTGCTTTGGTGTTGTGTTTCCACCAGAGCAGAACTGGAGAAAAAAACTCTAAGGTGCGGCCTGACTAGACTAGCTCCTCCAGATTTGAGAGGCTAGAATAAGGGTACCCGATTATTTTTTTTCAGGACGTCTACTTTGGTAGGGGAACCCTCCGCCCCAAAAAGGTAAAGGGCACTACTGGGGGACCTAGTAGAGCTGCTTTGGTGCTTTGGTGCTTTGGTGGTTGCTTTGGTGCTCTGCAAGGATCAGGCGGTCAAATCCAAAGCCAAACCACGAGAAACCACCAATTCAGGGGTTGACCCCTTTGACCCCTTCAGCGTTCAACCCTAAAATCTAGTCAGACTTTGCTTACGGTTTGATTGTCATTGCCATCATTTTGTCGAGGTTGGTTCGAGTTGAAGGGGTTCAGATTCGATGGATGCCTCATGATTGACTGCGAGTGACGTCAGGCTCCGTTAAAGATTTGAAGATGCATCTATTCAGGGTACCGGGACACGTCCTTTACGTTCCTTTATGAATTCTGACCCGGCAACCGAGAAGTCTAAAGCTAGCATCGAACTTGCTTTCAGATGCCCAGTTGTCATGGGGAAAAAAAGGACATCCTTTTTTGGTTCGTTGAGTTAAAAGAGGAACCCTTCCCCCCAAAAAGGAAAATTGGGCGCCACTGGGCAACTGGCTGCTTCAAGGCGCGCTGATCCAAATAGCACTCCACTGCGTTTCGCAAAAGGTCGTCCTCCTTAATCAGGGGCCTCTCCACGTCGAGGGAGAAGCGCCCGCTCCTCAGGAAAGGATGAAGTGACGCTTTTCTTTGAGTTGGATTGGTCGGAAACAGTGCGACCTTTCTATTTACCACTAACATGGTCTTCCCCCAAAAAAATATGAAGTGCATAAACTCAGCGGGCAAGTCGGCACCGCAACAGTGCTGGGCCGGTAAGGGCCTGATGTTCTTGTCTTTTGTACATGTCCTCGCTTTTGGCTTCTCCGCAACAGGCCACCTCTTCACTACAGGCTCACACAAGACCTAGGACGCCCCTTCGGGCGGAAACTCCGGCTTTCGGAAAGCAAGCGAAGGGCGGCATCTCCAGTTTCCGTCCTTTTCGAACAGTGGGGCGTTAGGGACAACACATCGAGACAAATCGGGGGAGGCGCCTTCGACCGTTTGGACGCATTCCCGGGTTCCAAAGTTTGCCTTCGCGTTTCTGAGACGTAAGGCCACGAGAAGAAAAGCGCGACCATGTGACTTGGTTTGAAAGGAAACCTAGGCGCAGATTGGCCAACAAAAAATTGCCAGAGCTTTGTAATTACCACAAAAAGTGCCTTCCCCAAACAGCATGAAGTCCAGGCACATATATATATATATATATACATATATATATATGGAGTGAGGAACCCCACGCTGAAAGTGGAGAACTTACAAAGTGGCCCGTCTCCGCCCTTTCCCCGAACTTCCGCCCGGGAAAAAAATCCGCCGACACCCACCCCAGCACCCTTCCCCCCCCTTGCGCGCCTGTCGCAAGCCTCCGACTGCAGGTAGGCATCCACCGCCCCGCAGAGCAAGGCGTCGGACTCCGCCGCCTGCTGCAGCGACTCCCACATGAAGTGGGCGGCCTGGAGGCTCGAAGAATCGAGCGGCGCCCGGCAAAGCTGGGGAGGGGGAAAGGGCGGAAAAAGAAGCAACATGGCATCAGGGCGAACAAACATACACGCAGGTCGGTTTTTTGTGCCTCTCAAAAAAAGGAACCCCCCAAACTAGAGTTCGGTGTCCTTTGGCCTTCCCTTTAGGCCAAGCCCCAAAGAGGACCCTTCACCAACAAAAAAAAGATCCTGCAGCTCAAAAGCGGATGGCAACCCCAAGAGCGTGGAATCAAGGTGGAGGACCCAAAAGTGGCCTGACCAAGAAGCCTCACCTCTTGAGACCGTGCAATTTCGCGCACGGAAAAATCAGGGCCACTGCCCGCCCGCCCAACAACAATCGGACGCAATGCCCAAGACATCCCAAAACGATCCCTTGCAACGCCCAGGTCCCTCACCCCGGCAACAGAAAACCTCTTTCTTGCAACCGCTGGAAGTACAAGAGACGAAGCGCCGAAATCCGCGAACATGGCGCAAAAAAGACAACGCCTACTGAAACAGCATATGCAACAAAGCACTGGAGATCCCTCCCAAAATCGCCCATCCCAAAACCTCCCATCCATCGCCTCGCGATAGAAGGACGGGGGCCTGTCGCTGTTGTGGCCCCCCTGGAAGCTGCAAAACCGCGAGGCCCCGCCCCACGCAGCTTGAAGCTCCCGCACCTGGCGCGAACTTCTGGGCCGCCCACTGGAAGAAACAAAAACGACGGATGCGAAAAACATAAAAGTACAAAAAGCAAGCATGAAAAAGACAGAGCCGAAGAAAACAGCACCAAATCAGCCAAACAAATGAACAGAAGCCCCACCCAAAAAAACAAGAACAAAGCAAACAACAACAGCACCAAATAGGCCAAACAGGAACAGAAGCCACATCCCCCCCAAAAAAAACACACACAAAGAAAACGAGAAGAAAAGACACGTGCCAAGAACAGGGGTGCTCACATCGAGGAGGAGAGTGTGGGGTGGTGATGAAACCCCTCCCCCACCACAAAGGTTGCCCCTCCCCAATTCCATGTGCCTAGTCATCCCCAAAAGCAGGAAAATCTATTTACAAATGAAACTCCAGGGCTCACCCTCGTCCTCCAATTCCATTGTTCAGGGGGTCATGAAGGCGCTTGTCGTAGGTACCAGTTCGCCACCCAAAAAGCTGAAGAAGCCGAAGAAACATGCACATCTGTGGGGAAACCCGCTTTTTTGTTTTTTGTTTTTTTAGCAAGGTGGGAAGTAACCAGAAAACCATCATGTAAAGCCAAAAGGGAGCTGGCTTCCATAGCTGAACAGTCAAAAGGGGAAACTCTTGGAAGCCCTACTTAGATGTGTCAAAATAGGAGCACTGCCAAAAAGAATGCCTTTGGCTTCCCTAGAAGCCAAACAACGACCGATACCCTCAAAACACACGCACACTCACACAAAAACGACGTTGGGGTATAGAGTTGGCTTGGGATTTCTGCCCTAACGCTTTTGAGTGGGTTCCCCTGTCAAATTCGCTGTATACCCTGAAAGTCAGCTTGCCCCTAATTGGTAGTTTGCATTGGTGGTTTGGAGGTGGTTTCCCGTTCACCCTGTACAAGAACCACTGGTTCAAATCCAAATCCAAACCATCCAAACCACCCAACAAAAAGACTGAGGTTACATAGCCGTATTTTAACCCAAACCAAATACGAACCACCAATTAAGAATAATTAAGGGGTACTTGTTTTTTTTAAGTACGCACACATGCCGACTTGGGCATTGTCTCGCCCGGCAACAGGCCTGATGGGGCTGGACGACTCGGTCGTCCTCCGCCACGGCAAAAAGCGCTGGGCAGTGGCAAAAAGGCGCCGCCTCGATCTTTCGGCGGCGAAAAACCCACACTTGCGGACAACGCGTCGAATCACCCGTTGACTAGTTACCTCTATGGCTATTGGGAACCAGGGAAACCATCAATGTAAAAACAAGGTACTAAAAAATGGTTACCTATCGGTTTTACCCACCAGGCTATAAACATCTTCGTGGGAAATTGCCCTGTGATACCAAAGGGCCTGATTTCCATGACGCCCTTAATTTGCAGGGGATTCCCTTGACGGAAAATGATACGTAATCTTTGGCATATTTTGACACCTGGGTGAAAAAGGGGGCCTCGGCCTTCAACGATCAGCTGAAATGAACACGTGCGCCAGTCGTGGTGAGGTGTTCTTTTGATGTCCCTTTGAAACGTTTGCTTGCGGTCGGACAGACATGCACAAGCAGACACCAAACCTCCATGAGTTTTGAGGTCATATGGGAGGCTTGGGTGGTGTTCCGGGCAGCTGGTTACCAGATCTCTAGCGGCTGATGAAAAACCACACCACACCTTTTGTTGGACTGCAAAAGCCAGTGGGGGTGTAGGAGTTCATTACCTGGGTTCGTGTCAAAACATGGCCACATAAACCTTAGTTTGTGGTTTGGATTTCAACCCTTGGTTCTCGTAGAGGGTAAATGGGGAACCACCCTGAACTGTCAAACCACCAATCCAACCCAACAGTTCGAGGGAATCTCATACGGAGAGCCCCCCCCAAACAAGTTTTGCGTTGGTTCCCCTTTGAACCAAACTGACGAGACACCAAAGACTATCAGTGGCTGGTTGAAGAGAATGGACGTGGAATCAGCCAGCAATCTACGGAGGCCAACGTTGGCTGGGCTTAAGCTGGTTGAACATCCCATGAACCATTCCAGTAGGTGGTTCTATTACCAGGTGTTCAAGCAATGAAGTTTAGAAGGAACTTCCGTGTTACGGCAACTAATTGAAAGCTGGCTCTCTGAGACAGATGACAAGAGAAGGCATAAGCCCGCGAGAAAATATGCGTGCGCGTGTGGTGGGAGAATAGAAATGTGCAAAAAGCATGGCCCTGTGCGTGAATTGGCGTCTCCGGAGAGCTGAAAGCTAGCCTGTTCGCGGTGCCTGGTTGGACCAGTCCCGGACCACGTTTGGACCACTCTCGGAGCGCGGGCCCATTGGCACGGCAACGCGAAGGTTTCGCAGGTTTTGAATTCCGTGGCAGGCGCATTACTTTTGCAAGGTCAGGTGTAGATTTCGTGGCAGGCGCAGCACTTTCGCAAGGTCACGCTTTCTTGAGGTTTCAAATGTGTGGTGGGCGCAGCACTTTCGCAAGGTGATGCGTAGATTTCGCAGCAGGCGCCGCACTTTGGCAAGGTCAAGTTTTCCCAAGGATCCAATTTTGTGGCAGGCGCCGCATTTTCGCAAGGTCAAGTACAGATTTCGTGGCAGGCGCGCACTTCCGCAAGGTCAAGTGCAGATTGCGTGGCAGGGGCAGCACTTTCGCAAGGTCGAGTACAGATTTCGTGACAGGGGCAGCGCTTTCGCAAGGTCAAGTACAGATTTCGTGACAGGGGCAGCACTTTCGCAAGGTCAAGTACAGATTTCGTGGCAGAGGCAGCACTTTTGCGAGGTTAGGAGATAAAAAGAGAGATAGGTAGATAGATAAATGGATGAGAAGAGAACGAGAGAGAGAGAGAGATAGCTAGATAAAAAGCTAGAGAGATAGATAGATCAATAGATAGATAAACAGATAGATAGATAAAAAGAAAAAAGACACATAGATAGATAAAGAGATTAACAGATAGAAAGATAGATGAAAAGACAGAGAGTGAGATAGATAGATAAATAAAGAGATAGATACATAGAGAAAGAGAGAGAGAGAGAGATAGATAGGTCCAGATAGATAGATAGATAGATAGGTTTGATAGATAGAGAGATTAGATAGATAGAGAAAATGCAGAAAACAGATAGACAGATAGACAGATAGATAGATAGTTAGAGAAGAGACAAAAGAAAGAACTGCGTAATAACAAGGAAAGAAAGAATGAAAGGAGTGGGGAAGGAAGGAAAGAAAGACAGAAAGAAAAAATGACGAAGAAATAACAGAAACAATGAAAAAGGAGAAGAAGAGAACAAGAATCAAGAAAAGACAGAGAAAGAGAACTGTAGTTTCTATATGTTTGAAACTTCCGCCCACCGGCTTCACCGGCTCTACTGGTAATACTGCCGACAACCGACAACAACTTTATGGGCCAGCTTGGCAGCCTCGAGTTGCTTAAATGGCCCCCTGAATGAAAAAGCTTGTAGAAGTGATGGATTGCCTTTAGAGCCAAGAAGGGAAATAACACATACTAAGCAAATGCAACGCCCAGTTGCCCTAGTCACCATCAGAATCTGCAACTACCTAAGCTACCATGGTTTTACTACCATGCTGGTTGAACATCCACAGGGGGAGTCCTCGTCCCACCCTTCTTCTTTTTGCTGTATCTTTGGGGGGCTTTGCATCTGGTCGCGGGAGGAGGGGGGGGGGAGTACAAAAAATTGGTAAAAAAGCAGTCTATGTTTGAATGGTTGCACATCCAAGTAGGGTCACCTGCTCAGCAGCTTGAACACCCAAGCAGTGCAGCACAAGCCATTTCGGTAGATGGACCTGTTGGCTGTTTCCCTCCTGCAAATAAACATGCAACCCCCACAAGGCCAGTGAGGATTTTATGAGGACACCAAATCGGACGGATGGAATGAAGTGGATGTGGGGATTTTAGTAGGGTTTTGACCAAATCAGATGGATGGTGTTTTTCTTGGCCATTTTCCATGTCTCATTCCCTGCTGAGAACCAGCAAGTCATTTCAGCGGGTGGATTTGGGGCGAGATTCGGCTCGGATGGTCAACTCAGTCCCTGGGTTCATAGGAACTGCTAGCCACTTCTTGGGTTTGACCATTTCCGTGGCAAAACAAAAGTTTGCACTTTTTGTTGGGTCATTCCACTCAGCAAGTTAGCAAAGGAAGAAGCCAGAACCACACGAAATTATCGCGCTACTGCCCTGCTTACGGATGGTTGTCTTGCTCCCTGGGTGTTTTTGAAAGGAACCTCGCCCGCTAAGCAGAGGGTTTCGTGCTCCCTACTTTGGTTACCCCCGCAAAATGGCAACGGTGCACTTCTAGCTTCGCTTGATACCAACGACCCAAACGCTGGTTGAAAATTCCTTCCCTGCTATCCCTACTGCTGATGGACGAAATCCTGCACCACTTAAGAACGCCTGGTGTCTGATGATTCCCCTGCAAGTACCAAACAAACGGTGGCTTCAACCACGGTTTCAAAGCGGTGCGAAATGGATTTCGCAACCATCCGCAGTATTTTATCATACACCCCCACCCCCCCACCCCCCCACCCATCCGGAGACTCGATGAAAATGGCATTCCCCAGCTCAAATTTCACGCAGTTCTCGCCTTCTTGGGCTGCATCTCCCGTGGGTCCAGACCCACCCGCTGCCGCACCGCGCTGCTGACCCGCGAGAGGCAGAAGTCCAGCAGAGCCCCGGGCACCCACTGCAGCGCCACTGTGCTGTCGAAGTAGTCCAGCACCACCTGGAGTCCGATTTGGGCCGATTTGGGTGTGGCTCAAAATGAAAAAGCCAGGGTACTCAGGTGTTGGGCCGATTGCCGATTGGGGTGGAGTTTTTTGGGTCGCCCACGGCGTTTGGAGCCATGTTGGCGTGGCGGAGGAGTTGGGCGGAGTTTTCCGGGGGGGGGGGGCTCGGCTCGGTTTCGCCGGGTGTTCGTCTCTTGTTCCATTTACCAAGGTGCGATTTTTGGGTACATCTTTTTGAGCCACAGCCCATTTGGGCCGATTCACCTGGATTTGGGCGATTTGGGCGTTGTTGGGGTCGCCCACGGGGGTTCTCGCCATGGAGCCGATTCTTGGCGGAGGATTTGGGCGATAAGGGTCATTGGTGAGTCTTGGGCTGAGTCTTGGGCGGAGTCTTGGGCCGAGTTTGGTCACCCATTGTTTGGACCCGGAGGTTGGGAAGGGGTGCAAACCCCAAATCCAAGCGCCCATAGGGTGGCCCCCCATCGGTTCAGCTGCGATTTGGGCACGGCGTTTTGAGCCATTTTGGCCTCGGTGGGGATTGGCGGTGATGGGAACCTGGATTTGGTCGCTCATGGGTTCTAGGTAGTCTATTTTAGTAGGGGAACCCTCCCCCAAAAAAGAGCAAAAGGGCAATACTGGGGGATCTACGGTTTCAATTTCCCATTTACCCTGAGTTGCCCACAGGACTAAAAAATGAAAACTGACATCTTTGCACCAATTTCAGCTTCGCTCAAAAAATCACACTTCTCCGGTGGATTGACAAAAGCCAATGTGTCTGTCCAGTAACAAGGGAGCCTGGACCACCTTTTCAGCCCCCCTCAAACGGGAATCCTTGGCATAGCAAAAAACTGACTGCGTGTTGCAGCCACCCATTGAAAACTTAGCAGAACCAGAAACCTGAAAAAAGCTCAACAATGGAAACCCTGGTTCAATTCGATTTGGGGGTGTCCCTGGAGTAGCGCATTCATCACAATTGCAAGGGTTCCCTCAAACCCCCAATTAGTAGGATGGGTTCTATTTAGACCTAAAAACAAACACTACTCTGCAAATTGAAATGGAACCCGAAAAGGGGCTCCATGTCCTTCATCATCCCATCTGCTATTTCCCATGCCCAAAATCCCAAGTTCTGTCCAAAAAGAAGTAGTTGGGAGGGGGGTGCTGGCATCAATAATCTATTGTATTGTTTAACCGTTATTTCTGATGGTATGTCCTTCTTGCTTGTGGACGACATTTGGGGGATGAAGCATGCGAGGGGACGAAGCATCTATACAAATGTGGGTAAAGAGGCATGGCCCACGGAAAGACATATATGAAGGATGGCTTTCTGGGTTCAGCTTGAGCATAGGTGTCCTTTTGGACAAAGAAACAAAGTGACTTTCCTGCTACAGGGAACAAAACCCATCTAAGCCAGTGCCATCAATCTCTAATCAACCTAAAAGGAATGATGATTCCCCACCACATACCAACAAACGTTATGGTTTCAGCCCCTGGTTTCAAAGCGGTGCAGGATTTCGTCCATCCTCAGCTAGTTACCTCCAAATAGTGAAAGTCGTGGCAGCAACCAAGGCGCCGAACTGCACGAAGGATTTCCGGGTTCCATGTGAAACTCCACTTTTGGGCGCCGAACTACACGAAGGCTTTCCGGGTCCTGTTTTTCATGTGCGAAAGCCCGGGCGTGGCAGCGCGGCAACAACGCGTGCGGGCGCCTTCTGGAAGTCCGCGTAGGGCGAGTCCAGCACACAGGCGTCCACTCTGCGGTCCTTCGAGGCCCGCAGGAGCGAGGCCACCGCGCCCATGGACTTCCCCCACAGACCGATGCTGGAGACCTTCCAAACGCGTCGGCTCGAGCCGGCTCGCTGAGGAGGCCGCAGCGGATGGACTGGACACCCCAGTGGATTTGAGGACAAAGAAGAGGGGCGCTCGCAGGTGTTCGTTCTTTTTTCAAAAAGGGTGAGCCCCTCCAACAAAAAATGTGCTTCTTTTGGTGGTAATAATTACCCTCCTGCAAAATACCACGGACCCCCCAAACAAAACCCATCCATTTTCCGAGCAATGGGGAAAACGTCCCGGATAAATCCAGGCTGGGAGATATAAAAAAGAGACAATCCACAAACCAGCCAAAAGATGTACTAAACATGGAGTCTAAAAAGAGCTAAACACGTGCCCAGGTGGTATCCCCAACAGCCCGGGAACTTTCTGGAATCAGCTGCCCCAAACCACCCCTTATCGCAATCAGTTGTGTTGGAATGCTTCGTTTCCACCCTGCCATTGACGTGCACAAAGACTTCACCCGTCCATCAAGAAAGAAAAGCCATGTGCTTTCTATTCAGAGGGCAAACAAACAGCCCCACTCACCAGGGACAGGAAAGTACTGAACATCCCAACTCGGTTGGTTTCTGCTCCCTGCCAAAAGTTTAACTTTTATTGTTTTCATACGGAAAACCCCTTAGTTGGCAAAAAGTTAAAGTCCTAACATCCCTTGGCAAAATGCACCAAAGAAACTACTGAACGGCAAAATGCACCAAAACAAGTGGTGAACATCCCAACGTTGCCATCTGCGCCATGGGCGCCGTATTGGTCTTCAGCAAGTAGTCGATGATCACGCGTAGGTCGTCCTCCTCTCGGTAGCCTAAAGTGACATACTCGCCGTCCGACAGGCCAGAGCCAGCAAAGTCGAAGGCGAAAACGGTGAGCTTGTACCTGCGACTCTCTCGCTCTCTCTCAGGTCACGCTTGGCTAGATCCTCCTGTAGAGAGGTTAGAATTAGGGTACCAACTTCTTGTTCTGTCGTCCATTTTGATTTGACCCCCTCCTTGTAGAGAATCAAATGGGAAACCCCCCACTAAGAGTCCAGACCAATGGGAAGTGGATTCTCACATGAGTCAGATGTTCAATCCACCTTACCCTAGTTTGTGGTTTGGGCCCAGAAGGATACCAAAACCCATCTAGCTTCAACTTGGGTCAAACCCACAAATCACCCATCCCGACCACCAAGGGTTACTTTGAAAAAAGGTAAACAAAAACAATAGAAAACAGGACCACTAACCAAGGGTCAAATTGAAACAACGTACCCTAAACCAAAAAAGCACGATAAATATGTTTAAAAAAACAAAGAATAAAACAAAGAATAAAACATATAATAATAAAAATAATAATAATAAGAATAATAATAAATAATAATAATAAATAATAATACATAATAATAATAATAACAATAATAACAATACTAAAAAAAATCCTGAGAAGTAAATAGTGATACAAGACAACAAACAAACAAACAAACAGACAAACAAACAAACAAACAAAAACAAAAAACGGTCTGCGTCATCACTGGCCAAACGGCTCGAAGAGCCAAGGCATCACTTGAAAAGCGTCGACTCGGCAGGAGCTGCTCCCATGGCAGAAGATCACGCCTCGTCTGATGGCTGGCAGCGGCGGCCGAGGGAGAGTTTTGGGCACTGCTGAGAAGGGGATTTCGGGTGTAGATGGGTGTTCCATTATTTCCCCAGATGGCTGAAAGCCATACTGGTGTGCAATCATTGGCATGTGTTTTTGGCTATTTGGGGTCTATGCTCAGTGGTTTTCTTAGATAGGCCTTTTGTGGCTGGTTCAAGTCAAAGGGAAACCAAAAGGCCCGCTAAAAAAAGTACACTCCTTAGTTTAAAGGGAAACCCAAAGGACAACTTAATTTAAGGGGGTCCCCTTAAATTTTGACACATTCCCAACTGAATTGGAATCTTAGGTTCGAACAAACCGCAAACCAGTTGGCTCCATCCAGGTCAGGGGCCCCTTTCGGTGCCGGCCGGGATTGTCAGACGTGGACGAAATCCAGGCACCAAATTGAAACGGCTTGTCCATAGGGTTCCACCCATCCCAGCTAGAAAGTGGCCATGGGTCAAACCCCCGTATTTTCAGTGAACATCCCCACCCAAAATGGTACCATTGGTGTTGACCCACCGCCAAGTGGAATTATGCCCGTCCGCCAGTATGGCGCATGTTTTTCAACCCCCGTGGTGCCGCCGTGTTAGAAGGATGCCAAAGCAGGCCAATCATTGACCACCCCGCATGGTCTCAGTTGCAGCCAGCGATTCATAAAAAAAAGAAGGCCTTGCTCCTGACCTTCGCCAACCGCAATCGGCTGAGGGGCTTGGGCTGATTACATTCTAAAGTCCTTGTTTCGGTTGTTGGAACCCAAGCCAACACTGGCCTCATTATTTTAGAATGATCAAACTGGGCTGTTCCCCTGGGGGGTTTTCTTTGAACAGCCCCGTTAAAGTCCCCCTACCTTAAGGAGGCGGCCCCAATTCCGTTTGTCTAGTATTTGAAGGGCAACATGGGTTGCCAACACATGTTGAGAAAGATCATCTCAAAGAGGAAGTACACCAGGGTGAGTTGGTACATGGCACATGTCCACCAAAAAAGGACCAAACTGGCTCAAGCCCAAAAACGTTCAAATTCAAACTCCCGGGTCCCCTCGAAGAAACCTGCCAGTTGGATGGTTTTTCTCGGGGTCGTTCCATTTCTTATTCCCTGCATCTCTCGCACCAGCAAAACAACATAACTCGGCTTCTTTCTTGCACACCAGATCTTCATGCCAACTTGATCCCTTACTTGCCCCATGTTCAGTGAACTAAGGAGCACGGCTCCCATAGGTGTCCTTTTAGGGGAAATGGATGGCGCTGGTAGACAGGTAAACCAGGAAACGCCATCTATTTTTTTCAACCAAAACAACCAAAAAGGACACCTATGCCTCCGACTTTCTCTCAGGTCACGCTTGGCGGCTTGGAGTTGCGGGGATTTGACCCCCTGCTTGTAGGGAATCAATTGGGAAACCACCCCCTAAGAATCCAAACCAATGGAAAGTGGATCCTCACTGACTAGGTCCTCCAGTGGAAAGGTTAGAATAAGGGTACCCTTTTTCTGTAGTCTATTTAAAAAAAAAGAAACGGAACGGTAACAGGGCACTACTGGGGGACCTAGCTGAAAATGCACCAAAGTAAGGAGCACGACGAGTAAAACACCGGCGTCCTCCTCAACCCCCGTTTTGCCTCGCTCCAAGGCGCAAGGGAGTCGCTCCGCCGGCGAGTCGTTGGAACGGAAGTGGGAGCACCTCCGGGCTGGGCTGGGGTTGGGCGGGGGGGGGGGGGGCGTGGGGGGTAGGTGGGTATGAGAAAATATGTCTCAGAGTCTGATTCATTTAGCCTACCTGGGATAAATCAATCAAACACAATATGTGTATACTGTGTATATATATATATGCACATGTCACAGGGTGGTTTGGACGAGATATCCAATATCATTAACAAAAAGACACCTCACTTGTTTAAACAAGTTTCCTTCGTCCATGCTTGTGAAACACACTTGCCCCCTGTAAAAGGACAGGCGTCTCATGTGTTGAACGCAAATCCATGTCGATCTCTGGTCGGGAAACCATGCAATACGCCGTCCAAAATTGCAGTTGTTCTCAGTTGCCCAAAGGACCCAGAAATAAAGGCTTCACCTTTTGGGGCCATGACTAAACATGGACCAACATGAGAGAACGAAAAGGTCAAAAGGTCGGTTTTGGACTCACTGCCCAAGTAGATGGGCCAGAAAACGTCCAAGCATTTTGTTTACCTCTAAAATGGTCTTCCCAAAAAGATAAAAGTCCAGCGACTCAGGGAGTGAGTGAACAACTGTGTTTCAGGGCAAAACACAAAGCTTATTAAAGATTTGCATCTGCCGTGCCCTTTGGCTTTGATTCTCGCCGGGCAAGACCCAAACCCATTGACCGTTTGAACCCTACAAAACTGGAGCTAAAGAAAGACATAGGCGCTAAGCTGCTACTCCCACCATTCAGCCCAGGCAGGAAGGGACCCCCCTAAACTGGCCAACTGCTATCAGATGTCCCGTTGTTTGTTGCTAAAACTGTGATTCCGAATTTACTGACAAGATTAATTTGAAAATTGAAATTCGGGCCGAATTCACCTTCACCATGTTCAAGATGTCACTCGCAGATTAAATTGTCAAATGCTTCAAATGGATTGAATACTCGGGCCCAGATTAACCCAATATGCCAACTATGTCCAAACCCCAACAAACACTTGCAATATGTCAAGGCCCAACTCTGTTCAAATATGTTTCAAGATAACGATAGCCGCTGTTATGCTTACACGGGGGTGCTAAGTCGTTGTACAATGTGGCGCAGTGGGCTGGGTGATGCGGCACATGGCATGGTGTGGCAGAGCAAGGTGAGCAAGGTATGTTCTTCTCCTTTCTCAACTGATATGGTACACATGACATGGAAACAAATCACTCCCCATCCCTTTGCAAACCTGTTGGCATACTAGATATGGTGTGATAATATGGCGTGATGCAATTTAATTGGTTTTAAGGATACACATGTATAATATATATATATATATATGTAACATGGTGTAGTGTCGTGTCATTGCATGTTCCCGTCCATCTTGTCTGGCATGACATGCGCGTCTGACAAATAACTTGGCAACCGGTCATTCAATCCATTTGACCCGGCATGGCACGGCGGTAACTATGCTATGCTGGTGTGGCATGGCGTTGTTCTGCTTTCACCTTGCCTGCCGGCCATCAATGCGTTAACTCCCTTTAATGAATAGTATGCCACCAATTCATGCTCCATCCCTCTCTTCCCTTCGCATTCTGGTGGAATGCTCTGATGATATCCATTCCTCCTGGCCTTGGCATGTTGTATTGGTACAGTGTGGTGTGATTTCGTGTGGTGCGATACAGTCTCTCTCATCGGTGGCCAACTTCAAGGAGGCCCGGGCGCGCACGCCCTGCATCCACCCTTCTAGAATTGGGGCTCTTGGCCCTATGTCGGCGTTGCTTACACGTCCCCTTTGAGAATTGCATCCCTCAAACTACAGGACAATTCAATTAAAATGGTTCAAGGCTATATTTTTCGAGGGTGCCCTTTCAGCTGGGCTTAAAGGGAACCAAAAGGAACCTGCCATTTTGGGATATTTTGTTGGGGCCAACTCCCCATTTGGAGAAACGTAGCCACCCAAAAACGTGACTCCAAGCCAACAGAAGCCCAAAGTCTTTGACGTCCATATGACTGTTCAGCTTCCGAACATATTTTTACCTCCCTTTTGGCGTAAAAACATCCAGGATTTCCCAGGCAAAAGGGGGATAAACCCCATCTAAGCCAGTGGAACCTGAACCCGTGTCATTGCCTCCCCCAAACTGAACCCAAAAAGAACAAAAAACACATTGAACGAGAACAAATAACATTTCACCAAAAAGGATTTTTTGATTTTATATAAGGGGACACCTTATAGTGAATTCAAAACCATGATTAAAAAATGAGTTTTACAAATCCAAGGACACCTGTTCAACTTCCAAAGCGCCGCTGAGCTTCTTCTTTTTCGCCTTCTCTCCGCTGCCCGGCCTCAGGGTCAAGCCCTGGCTGTTCTGCAGCTCCATGTCGTGCCTTTCCAGCGGTCGGCTCAGCCGCTTCACCGCCTCCGGGGATGGAAGGATCACCTGGCGCCGGCCGGTTTTATCGGTTGTTCGGCGGCTTTGGCGGGGCGGAGCGGCGCCCCTTTTTCTTTTTGGGGGGGGGGGTTGGGGGCTGGGCCGTTTGTATCGGCGGTGCGGTGGTGGCGTTTTTTTTTTTTTTTTTGGGGGGGGCCTCGGAGTCGCCGCTGAAGGGCGGCCGCGGTGTGTGTTTTTTGTTTTTGTGTGTGTGCTTCTTTTCCGGGCGGTTTCTAGCTTTGAACCTGTCCTTCCATGAAAGGGCCTTCCCCCTCCAAACATCACCCCTACGGGAAGCTCACCTTGGGCAAAAAAACAGGTGATCTCCAAAAAACCACAACAACAAAAAAGAAACTGGACCTTAAATAAGCAAAACAAACAATGATGTTCAAAACACCACAACCCAACAAACAAAACAAAAAACATAAATATGGGGATCACCCCTGGGTTTGGAGCTGCGTTTTCCGGGGACGACTGTTGTCCCTTTCGGAGCGCTCCGCCTGCAGCTTGTCGGGCCCCAGGATCTTGGGGTCGTACCTCCGCCGTGGCGGGCGGATCACCAGCCGCCAGGCCTTAGGCGGCTGATTGCGACCGGGATCCCGGAGCCATGGAGCCATGCCCTCCTAACTTCAAAGGGTTGGGTTACAGGAAATTCTACAGGAAAACAGCTTCTTTAGGGTGTTTTGAGGCCATTTCCTGCAGTTTTTCTGTAACAAAACCCTTAGGCGCGCGAAGGGGGAGCGCGGAGCCATGGCAATGTGCTGAAAGCAAATGTGGCTAGTTTGAGGCTCAGGTAATAGGATGTCATGGGCGACCTGTTGGTCAAGCATAGTTGGATTTCCCCGGCTTAAGCCAATATCTCAAGCAGTAGATCCCAGCTATCCCTCCCCAAACTAACTGAAAAAAGGGACCTTCTGGATAGGTCCATGGCGGACCCACGGGCCTTCCCCACTCACCAAAAACGACCCGCCCCCCCGTCCGAACATGGCACCTGACGGGTCCCTCCTATGGGGAAACCAGCTGCCACCCACTCAGGGCTAGGGGGACCTGACACGGGGACACCGGCCCGGAAGCCGACTGGTTGCGGCTGCTTCAAGGGGCGACCAATTGGTACGTCAGGTAAGTGAGTAAGCCTGGTGAGATGACCCAGAAAGCCATGGTTAGAAGCTAGGGGGCTGGGGCCCTTTCAACTGAAACGTTAGCGCAAACACTGGCATCGAAACCTCCGCAAAGTGGCTTAAATCAGAGTGGCGACAATAGTGGCTTATCAAAGAGGAGTCTGCTTAAACTCCTCAAGCCAAAAAGCCGGTCGATGCACCAGACCCGGCCTCTAAAAGGTTGGCGGAATAGCCCGCCCCCTCCTCCTGCACAGAGGAGTAGGTTTCCGCCTCGAAGGTTTCCCGCTGAGTCCTCGACAAGTGGCCACATCTCCCTCCCAAATATCATGTGCCCAAATAGACCGGGCCTGCCTTCTGGCTTCAAGCCGTCAAACTACGCCCAACACCCCTTCCAGGAGCGGTTTACCGGCTTGGTGGGAAGAAACACATCCCCCAAAGGCAGGCGAGGGTGGAGGCTGCAACCAAATAGCTGCCTCTGTGCGGCTTCCCTTTTGCACCAGCCCCCTCAATAGAAAAGCACACAAATGTACACATTGGCTGAGGCAAATAGCCTTTGCACGCGGACCAAAAGAAGCATGTTTCAACATGACAGTGCTTTCTTGCCATCTTTTTGAAAAGGGGGTGTTGGAATCAACCCGCCCCCTTTCCCTTCCCAAACCTTGGCATAGCAGCAACCAACTGTTTCTCTCTTTGTCTCGCAGCCCACCAGAAAAGCAGCGAGTGAGACTGAAACTCGGTCATGTTCTCTCTCCCCATTTCTCAGTCCAGGTCCCCATGTTGTCCATGCCAGGGTTGTGGGAAATGGAACCCACTTCTGCGATACAACCAAAAGAGCTTCCCAAAGACGAACCCCCCCCCCCCGCACAAAGGGGGAGATTCCCACAAGTATCACAGAAGTGGTTGGATAGAACACCCCGAGTAATCCCACCGAAGGCGGACGGTTGAGTCTCCTGGTTGCTTGGGTCTGATGAATTTCGGCTGATCTTGTCCAACCCTGGAGTCCATTGCCATGCCCCCCCCCAAAAAAAAAAAGAAGAAGGGACATTCCCAAAGGTATCACAGAAGTGGCTGGATAAACCCCAAGCCATCAACCAATCACAACCCTGGAGTCCATTGCCATATTGCCATGCCGGGTCCTCTCGCCCAGGTGGAGGTTCTTCTCCCTGCCCGGGTGGACGGCATTGGTCACCGGGCAGGCGGGCGCTCCCTCCTCCTGGGACCCCGGGTCGAAGCTCCAGGCGTCGGGGCTGGGCGGCACCACCGACTCCGACACCTCGGTGTCGCCCCGGTCCGAGGGGTGGACGGATTTGAGGCCTGATCTGTTGGCATGTTGTGGGCAGCCAATCTGGGATCGGAAAGCCAAGATATTAAAAAAAAACACTAGGTAGAGACAAACTAAAGGAATACCATGCGCTGAATGACTAAAACACGCGACCCTGAAAAGAATGGAATTCCGTTTTGGGCTGAATTTGTTCTTTAGGAAGATGACTCATCCACTTGAGTCTGGAAAGAAGGGAATCCTGCTTTGGGGAGCCCAAATGTTCAAAAAAAGTCCAGATGGGTTAAAAGCGCCAAGGGGTGCCGTTGAACTTTCAACCTTTTACTTGGGGGAACATGTTATTCCCAGTACGTCCCTAACCAACAGCACCACGAGGAAAAACTGGCTGGTTGCCTGCTGCTTAGGTAACTGGGATCCACTCACACTGCCCAAAAGGTCAAAAGGCCCTTGAGGCGTACCAAAGACAAACCAAGTCGCCATCAGCGGTCCATGAGCGAAGAAGCGCGCGGGCGCGTAGAGCCAGCAACCGCGGTCGTGTGGGCCGAATTTCTCGGTCTTGGGCATGGGCGCTGGGTGGTGCTGGATGCCTGTTTGAGCTGTACGCTGTACGCTGCCTGTGGGCTGCAGGGCCTGGCCGATTTCTGCCGGCAAGTTCCTTGAGGCGTCAGGCGGCAGGTGCAAATCGGCTGCAGCTGACGTGAGCACCGCCCAAAGCCCATTCACGCTCGATCTTACATTAGCTCCCGCATAAATGCAAATTCAGATGCCCCCAGCTCCTTGAACCCCCTTCCAAGCACCAGCATACAGGTAGTAGGACCACCTACTTACTGCCTGGGCCTAAGCCAATCATCTAGTGGTCGCTTCCCCATTCTTTCCAGGGATCCTTCTTTTCAGGAAACCATCAAAAACCCAGGTTGGAAACAGATCCGGTTCTTGAAAAGAACGATGGTTGAAAAGAATGGAATTGGAATCAACGCCCTGGAAATCCGGTTCAAGCCCCTTCCAACCACCAGCATAAAGGTAGTAGGACCCCCTACTTACTTCCATTTGGTCAAGACCCCCAGACAAATAAAATGTTTCCAGTAGTGACAAATTCCTTTTAACACCAACAAGGGAACATATACAAGGTTCTTCAGCAAATGGATGCTTATTACCTAAGCCAACCAGCACCAGCGTCTCACGCCCCATCCAGCGTCGCACCTTCGGCCTGGCCCCAATCGCCCAGCCCTTCCGGCGGCCTGCAGCAAAAAAAAAGACGCGGCTCAGCAAGGGCGGTGGCTAAGCCAACCGGACTTCCAAAATGGCTTGCCCTGGCAAGTGGAAACATGGACCAAAAGCTGCGGTTTGGTAACCCCAGCGGTTTGATTTTGAGCCACACCCAAATAGGTGCCCTTTGTGGGGGCAACACGACACGTCGCTGGTGGCGACATCTGCTCCCCTGCTGAAAAAGTGTTTAGCTTTGGTGGTTTAATACGGAAAACCCATTGGTTGGCAAAAAGTTGAAGTCCTAACATCCAAGCAAAATGAACCAAAGTAAACATGGGCCAAGAGAGGGAAACCAACAGGTCGATTCGCTCTGGGCAAGAGAGTGCTTGAATGTTCTAACCCAAGGTTGCGATGCTTTCATGTCATCAACCCCTGCAATGCGGTACAAGCATGACAGTAACCATCCCATTGTGTCCCGAAAAATATATATTTTATGTGTATTTATCTTTATGTTATTATTGATTGTTGTTCTTTTAAAACCAACAAAAAAACACGACGGTCCCTTCGCCTCGCGAACAAGAAACAAACAACCAGAAAAAGGAGCCGACGGGTCCCGCCTCCCATCGGTTCCCATCCCGCCTCTCCGCACTCCAGGACTCCCGCCTCTCCTGGTTCCACGTCTCCATGGGCATCGCATAACCCTCCTCCGCGCCGAGGGCCGGCGCCGCCGCGCCCGCGGGGCCCGGCGCCGGCGGCTGCGTCGCCAGGGGCGGCGCGGCCGAAGGCGCGGGGCCGCCCGCGGCCGCGCCCGGCGACCTCGCGTCCGGCGTGGCTTTTGGGCGAGGGGGGCCAAAGAAACGGAACAAATCCATGGCTCTCCCATGAAAATGTCCGCATTTGGGCGGGGAATCCGTGAGGTCCATTTGAACATGTCCGCAGATCTATGGATTTTGTCCTGGCTTTCACACAACGTCTGGGCCGAGCACCAGCTGGGTGCGCTCGCGCTCGCGGCTTGCTTCTCGAGCGCCTCTGCCGTTGGGTCCGAAGTGGAGGAAATTGGAAACTGGAAATCCACCTGGCCCCACTTCAAGCCACCTAAGGACACCCAAAACCTACGAAAGGACACCCAAAACCTACCAAAGGACACCCAAACCAAAGGACACCCAAAACCTACGAAAGGACACCCAAAACATACCAAAGCACCCCCAAAACCTATGAAAGGACACCCAAAACCTACGAAAGGACACCCAAAACCTACGAAAGGACACCCAAAACCTTCCAAAGACACCCAAAACCTACCAAACGACACCCAAAACATACCAAAGGACACCCAAAAAACCTACAAAAGGACACCCAAAACCTGCAAAAGGACACCCAAAAGCTGCAAAAGGACACCCTAAGGGGTGTCCAAAGCAGAGTCCAGCAACAGCCCAGTGTAATCGGGCCTTTGAAAGGCTTGGGGATGTTCGCTCCTCACAAAATGCGCCATCGAGCTTCATCTAGCCTTTGGCCCTTCAAATTGTCACCTGGATGGGTTCCGAAGTCATAAAAACAGGGCGATGGTGCATGAGCGGTTTCTCCATTTTTTATCTGGGTGTGCCTTTTTGGGGCCCAACAAATGGAGTTCTTTGGCTTCCCTTTGGAAGCAGAACGGGTACCGGCCAAAACGCTAAACCATGTCCTTCACGCCCACTGTCTCGGAAAGTCCTAGGGAGGTCGCCCCCCTCTTTAACTGTCAAGTGGAACCGGGAACTCGCAACAATATCCATGTGGGTTCCCTTTGAACCAGTCATTTGGCTCCCCCCGAATCCAAAGCTGATCAATCTGGTGCTCATTGAAAAGAGCAAGCCACTCTTGGAGGATCCAGAAAGGGAAATGCAGTGTTGAAACCCTCACCAGCTCTACACCAAGACCCAATGTCGCGGACAGCAAAGCAGCCATTCCAGACTGAAATTTCAGGGAACCGCACCAGCAATCTTGCGGTCCAGGTAAAAGCGCCCAACACCTGCTGACGTTTGGTACCCAGAATCACCGGAGATGGTCTTCTTTCGTATCCACATGGTGGTTTCAAGGAAACGCGAAAGAAAAACAAAACAAAAAATATTCTGCGCTTCTGAATACGAGAAGAAAAGCCCTCAGCATATTATTCTTGCTTAAATTGGCTCTTTCCAGCTCCTTGGGTGCTTGTGTGTTCTTGGGTCCTTGGCTTCTTGGATCCTTGTTGGCCTTGGCTTCATGGGACGACACCCTCCGGTCGCCTTCTCCAGCTGCCGCTCACTTTTCCGCAGCTTCTCCTGTAGCTTCTGCTTCTCCTGCATTTGTCGCATCGGTCGCATCCGAGTCGAACATTCTGCAAATGAGGCACCTCCATGGTGTGACCTTCCATTTGCCGTTTGAGCCTGGAAAGCAAGAAAACAGTAGTGACCGGTTCCCTTTAAAACACTGTCCTTCTTTTTGCTGTTTCGCCCCCTGGGCACAAAAATGATAAAATATGCTCCAGTAGTGACAGATACCCTTTAAAACACAAAGAGAACAACAACACATTCTCAGGCAAATGGAAGTGGATCGCCACTGGCTGCTTTTTCCCAGCAACTTTGGCGGGTGAAGTGTCCGGAAAAAGAAGCAAAAACAAACATCCAGGCACGGAAAACAACAAACAACCGCGCCCCCCCCCCAAAAAAAAAATAAAAAATAAAATAAAAAATAAAATAACCACACACTTGGTTCTGAAAATGTCCAGTTTCCCCCCATGACGAGAAAGGGGTGGATTCTCCAACAGCCGAAAGCCGCTTTCCTAAACCTTGGCATGCAGCACCCCCCCAATAAAACTGAACAAACAAGGCAGTGAAATAAACAAGCAAACACATGGCAAAGATCTAGCTTTTGTAAAACCAAAAATAGCCACCCACCCCGAGAATGTGTCCACCTCCCTTTTCTCCGAGCCCCCGAACTGACCCATCAACCCATCGGTTCAAGGGCAGTTCTGGAGGTATGGATGCTCATATATATATATATATATCGCCAATATAAGCTGATAAGACTTCTGAAAGTGACCAACTTCTGGGCTAAATGCGGAAACTCGACCAGACCAACCAAAAAAAACTACTAAGCAACCTGGGAACCCCGAACTTTCCAGGAATGGAACTGACTTGGCTTTCGTGTTTTGGCTCATGCTCGTTCAGTTCCAAAACTCCCAGACTGCCAAGTGTCCCTTCAGGTGTCCCTACCAATGGTTAAAAACAGGTTTTCACCGAACATTCAGACAGACCCTTCAACAGTTGGGTTTTCCCCGAGTTCTCCAACCCTCCACACTTCTTCAGACCCAAACAGTGAGTTTTCCTCAAGACTCCGACCCCTCCACACCTTCCGCCAGCTCCCTCCACCCGCCCCCACTCAACCGCCGACCGTCCGAGCGTCCGAGCATCTGGAGCCGTGCGCCGATCCGAAGATCCACCCCCCACACACCATTTTCATGGCAAATAACACCCGATTGACTTTTGCCTTCCGAGCCCCCCCCCTCCTCCCCTCCGTCCCCTCCCACCGCCCAACCCCCCCCCCCCCCCTCCCCGCCTGCGTGGCCTGCTCGGCTTGGCGCTTCGTCGCCCGCAGCTCCGCCTCCACGGTGCTGAGGTGCTGCCGCAGCGCGGCGGGGGCTGTGCGGAGCCGGGCGAGCTCCTCCTCTGTGGGCCTAAGGGTGGGGTGGGGGGTGGGGCAGGGTGGGGGGTGGGGAGAGATGCTTCTTTTTTTTGGGCGGGGGGGGGGAAGATAATTTGGAAAATTAAACAAAAAAAACGCTTCCTGAGTGGGTTGGGCAGGGTCGATGGGGAGGAGGAGGTTGGGATGTGAAAGGCAGCATCATCATCATCATCATCATCATCATCATCATCATCATCATCATCATCATCATCATCATCATCATCGGGTAGGGGAGGAGGGAAGGTGAGTTTCCCCCCTGAACAGAACACGGGGTAGACCAAACCCATACAGACCAGTGGCGATCTAGTGGCCGTATATGACATCAACCCGGACATGCTCGCTCTCTCTCTCTCTCTCTCTCTCTCTCTCTCTCTCTCGCTCTCTCGTATTGCAACCTGGAAGCATGATTCAATGTTGGCAAGCCGCAACCCTAGCTGGCAGCCGCCCTGAACCACTCTAAAGCCGGGAACAGACCCCAAAGCTTTCAGCTATCGGGGAACACTGTTTGCCTGCGAACGCTCCCTGTTCACTTGCTCCATTTCGCAACCTTCCATGGCCCCTTCCACATGGAAATTTAGGGTCGTTGTGTTTTAAGGTTTGGGTCTGGCACATTGGCTATGATCTTTAAGAGTTGGAACTGTGTGAAATGCATCCCGACCTAAAGCACGTCCACCATTTTGTTTGCCGGCCCCTTGCGAAAAACCCGCCTCGCACGTGGTTGGTGGAAATGAATCTCCCCCACCTAAACTATGTCCGCCACATCCACATAAACCTCCATCGCACAGCTTTCACGCGAAACACTTTGCGCGCCTGCCCTCCGCCTCCTCGCGGAGATGCTTCAAACCTGGGCACCAAAGAGGACGCGCCCAGAACCCGACAGCGGCCAGAAGCCCGCTCCACCTCGGAGCCTTTGGCAAAGACCCCAAGCTGCCAGGGAAGGACTGTCAAATGTGTTGGTGTCTGAGACATGGCTTCTAAATCAAACATAAACATTGACACATGCGCAGAGACCAAAATTGAATGTACTGATCATAGGCAACTTCTTGGCCCAACTCTGGGTTAAGAATAATCCATGCATTTGGGCGTGCCTTCCTTTCGAGGAAGCCCTTTTTTGAAGGGAAACCCAAATGGATTGGGGGTTTCCTTTTGGAGACAAGCCTGCAGGTTTTATAACAAGGGAAACCCATCTTCACTCTTTCCGGGGGGGAGCTTCCTCTACTCAGAGAAACCAACTTGGCTCGGGCCCCCCCAAAAAAAGGCTGTTTTCCTCTTGGCATCCCTGTGAAGCAGATCAAAATCGGCTTCCCTGCAATTTGTGGCTTGGTTTGATTTGGACGTGAAGGGGTACCTTCCCCATTTGCTTTGTAAAGATGCTGGGAAGCCACCAATCCAAACCACCAACTGACGGTAACCGAAAAAATTGGCTCTGCCCCTCCCCCCCCCAAAAAAAAAAAAACAGAAAAAAGAAAGAAAGAAAGAAAGAAAGAAACTGCTGCGTTGTTGGGGTTGGGTTCTTGGGTTAGGCGGTTGAGCTGTGTGCTGTTTTGCTTTTGCCGGGCTGTTGGGCCGTTGCCCCCCCCCCTCCAAAAAAAACAAACACAAAAAAACAAAGCACAAGCACAAAAGGAACACTTCCCCGCCCCATTAAAAAAATAAGAAACACAAAAAGAAAAAAAACACTCTCCAGCCCCCCCCCCCCAAAAAAAAAGAATAAGAAGAACAAAAACGACAAACAAACAAAAAAGCAAACAAACAAACAAACAAACAAACAAACAACCCACAAACTAAAAGAACGACAGACCCACTTGGCGCTCCGTTTCACTCCGCGTGGCTGCGCTGCAGGGCTTCCACGTGGTACCGCTCCGCGCTTCGGGTGGACCGTTCGTCCTCGAGCTGCCGCCGGAGATCCGACACCTCCGCCAGAAAGCGCCGCTCCTGCGGCGCTACGAGTGAACGGGGTGGCCCAGTGAAACAGTCATTGGCTTTGTCGCCCCCTGGGAGAAAAAAAAAAACAAAACGGAAATATGTCCAGTAGTCACAGATTCGGAAATGTGGGGATTCAGAGCGCTGATGTTTTTATCTTTGTTGTTGAGTTTTTTTTTAGTTGTTGATTGATGTTCTTAGTTGTTATTTTTTAGTTGTCGATTGATTTTTCTTAGTTGTTAAGCTTTCCTATGTCCAGTAGTCATAGATTCCCTTTAAAACCAACAGGGGAAAATAAACATGGAAGCAACTGTGGGGATTCAGATCGCTTTGGGGAGCACTCCATTACGAGTGTCGATGTTTGCGGATGTTTGGGTTTTCCTTGATTGGTGGTTGCCTCGAGCCGGCAATTAAGCCAAAACTAACAGTTCGTCAACCCGGAAAACATGGGGGACTGGCAAAACAACTTAACCCCTGCATGATTTTGAGTGGGAGGGGGGGCTGTCCAATTCGGTTTTGTGGGGTTGCAAAAGCCTAATTGTCATATTCTGCTCATTACCTGGGGTTGGGTCAAAATATGGCCTTAACCACCAAACCAACGGGCTCCAAACCACCAATTGGAGGGCTTAAGTCCCCAAGGGCCCGAGGGCTGGTATAAAAAACCGACTGAACCGGACCACCAATGGAATTCCGTGAGTACAAAGCAGAAGCTTTGTCTTCTCCATGTTTCTGGATTGATTGGATTTTTTTTTAAAGAGACACCCCCTCCAGAGAGACAAGGGACCCCCCCCACTAGTTGCAATTTTGAGGGCTCCAATCAAACTGCAACTGTTAGATCTGATTTTTTGTGGGCCCAGAAGCTCTGTGGATTCTGGGCAAAAGGGGATGAGGGGTTTCCCTCCTCCAACGAAAAAGGACATCCCCCGACAAGGCCATGAAACATATTTTTCTGCTTGAAGGGGCAGGGAGGAATCAATTGCTTGCTTCGAAAGTGACACCGAAGCCCATGACAACCAAGAAACCTTTGCGAGTTGTCAATGTTAGCCCTCTTTGGCACCCCAAATTCCAAGTAAGCCGCTCAACGTCTTTGGTTTTGCCTTTCCCTTTGAACCACCAACCCCAAAAAGCGCTCAACGTCCAGTTGCTTAAGCGGAAAAAATATAAGCCTTCAAAACCAAAGGGGGGAAAGAACAATTATTCATTTCAGCAAATGGAAGTCAACAAAGAAGCCGCGCCCAAATGCGCATGTCCTTCTTTAGGCCCCCCCCCAAAAAAAAAAAACGGTTGTCAAGGTTGGTTTTCCTTTACCGCAGAAACGGGGTGCCCGTCAAAACAAAAACCAACCCAAATGGCGAACCCCACCCGCAAGAAACCCACCGCGCACTTGCGAAGTCGCCTGAGTTTCGAGGGCCTCTTGGCACCTCTGGCGCAAGAGCTGGAGCTCCTACGGCGAAACTTGAAGGGAGCTGCGCGAAAAAAGGCGGGTTACCCTCCCCCAGACTCCTTTGGAAGACTTGGTTCCACAGAGGCCTTCTTGGAACTTCTATGCTAGTCTGAGGGAGTGTATCAGCAGGGAATCAGGGGTCAGAACCATGCCCGATTTGCTTTGTTTCCTAGGGGTGGTCATTCCCTACCTAGAAATGGACTGATACAGGAAGAAAGCGCCATCAGCGACTATCAGGTTTCCTCTGAACGTCTGGTTAGCAGGGAATGAGGGGTCAGAACCATCCCCGATTTGGTTTCCTTTAAGGGTCATTGTCATTCCCTACCTGTGAGAAATGGAACGGCCCAGCGAAAACAAAAATAAAAAATCTGTCTGATTCCTTGGGGAGTCCTTCCGGTTCGGTCCCCCGACACCCGGACTCGTTGTCATTCCCTACCTATCGCACCAGCAAGTTCAGCATTACACAAGGAATGGCCTCCCTTATATAAATTCCTCCAAAAGGCGCCTTTTCTTGAACTGCCCAGGGCCCAGTGCGGGGCCAGGAATGAGTCACTCGATATCCCTGTCTAAACTTGCTGCGTACTGATGAGCTCTCTTGGACAATTGCAACTTGAGGTCAAAACGACAACTGAGGGGCTCCCGTTTAAGGCTACCCTTCGAGCATGCCTATCCAAAAAGGGATAACAGTTAACATGGTCAAAAGGTAATTAACGTTTGTATCAACAAGAAGCGAAAATTACGGATGTGCATTCTGGAGGATTTCATTTCCACCCTGGCATAAGAGGAAATCAAGAGGACCCTCCATTTGGGGGCCCTTCCATGGAACCCAAGAAAGAAACCCAGCTCTGTCTTCTTGAGCAAAAGGGGGGTGTGAATGTTTGGTCTATGCGATTCGCCTAAAATCGGGAGCCCCTCAGATCCCCCGCTAAAGGTGACTAACTGGCAGCTACTGGGTCCACTACAGCGAGGTCCTCAGAATGACCGAGGCTTACAGAATACCCACACCAAAAATTACGTCCTCGCTTTAAGGGACCCAGTCCGCCCAAGAATCCAGTGGGTTAAAAAGCTAAAAAACCGGATGGCTGGGCTTGCCACCAAGTAAACAGGCCCGCTCTCCATGGCTCCTGGTCCTTGGCTTGCTCCACCTGCCGCAGCCGCGCCTGTACGGTGCGGGTTCAGGCTGTGTCTTGTCTCTCCCATTGAAATGGGTGGCTTGTCCATAGGGTGCCACCCATCTCAGCTGGAAAGTGGCCATGGGTCAAACCCCCGTACCAGTGAACATCCGATTCAATCCCCACTAAAATAGGTTCTAAACTGGGTGGTGCACCTGCCCCAAAATGGCATCATTGATTTTGACCCACAGCCACATGGAACCCACAGGGTCAGCTTTAAAGGACAATGGTCTTCCAGGACCCCCCAGTAAGGCTATGTTAGTGGATTGGAGGGTATCCAGGTGATCTCCTTTGGTTTGATAGGCACCAGGGGGGAAGCATCCAACTAGTGGTGTCCTCTGTTTCAGGCCCTCCTGGACAAAATCCCGTAGTTGGTATGTGGTTCCTCCCAGCATGTGTTTGCTGGTGCGGATGATGTCAATCCACAAAAGGGGGGGAAACCATCCAAGTGGAAACTTTGGGGGTTCTAAGGTCGAAATCCCCTCAACTTGCCGCCTTGATCGAATTCGCGAACCTAAGCCATCCAACTGCTGGTTTCTGGCTTTGGTTGAACACAAATCAGGTCCAAAAGAAAGGGCCTTTCAACCAAAACCAACTGGACGATCGCATCCCCCCCCCTTCCCCGACCCAAAAAGTTAAGCTTTTGCTGGTATCGGAAAATGACCCAGAGGACGGCAAGGTGATCACCTAAAAGTCAGGTCCGGTCTATTCGCCCGCCGGGCCAGCGACTATCAAACTGCCTAGGGAAATCACCAACCAGCTTTTCCAACTTTGACCCCCAGCAAAACGCAACTGAGCTTCGGGTGAGTCTCTGATTTTTTCCTAGGTACCCCTTTTTGCTTGGGTTCTTAAAGGGAGCCAAAAGGAACCCAACCCTTTCTTCGGGGTCCCCTATGTGAATTAGCTTCTCCCTGGGTGCTTTGGAGCCCGGTGGCTTGGTGGTTGTGCCGGATTTCAAATGTACCCACAAGAACCAGGGCTTCAAATCCAAATCCTCAAGCCATCGGGCCCCAAACCACCAACCAACCTGATTCGTCCGGCACTCCAAAAAAAACGATTCCGCGCGGCAAAAAGACTTGCGATCGCTGCGATAGGCAGGGAATGGGACATGGAATGAACCCAGAAATTTCGCCTTAAAGGAAACCACCAGTTGGATGGCTGCTCTGGGCGTTCCATCCAACTCATTCCCTGCATCTCTCGCACCGATCGCACGAAAAACCAAAAAAACAGTTTACAGGTGTTCCAACTCATTCCCTGCCTATCGCACCAGCCAGAGAGAAGAGGAAAAACAAACACTCCTCACCTGGCACTCCTCTGCTACAGCGCCCAGCTGCTGCTGCAGCTCGGCCCGCCTCCCCATGGACTGCAGCATGGCGCGCCGGAGGAGTCGCGCGGCTCCGCGCGCCGCAGGAGCGCTCGCTGAGCGCCAGGAGCGCAGAGAAGTTGCTGCCGTTCCTTTTGTTTTTTGATTTGTGCTTCTCCGAAGGCCACTCTTCGAAGATTTGGCAACCTCCTCTTTCGGCAAAGGTTGTGGTGGCAACAAGAATGACAAATGCTCGAAATAAAAGGTCGGGCCTAGGAGAGCGGCGCGAAAAACGGCCGTTTGGCGGAACTCCGTTCTTTTTTTGGTGGTCTAATTTTGTGATTGGAGTTCTTAGAGTCCCGAGTACCATCTTCCAACAAAAACACGTTGAACGGGATTAAACAAACGGAAGCAGACAGCATGGTATTACACACATCTTTTGATATCATTTGGGCTTCCAGTGTTCACCACAAAAAAGGTCGCATAGCACAAGGAACCACACCATTGTTCCGACAAGGGAAGCAGCAGCCGGAAAACATCATCTCTCACATCAAAGGGGCCTGTCCAGAAAATATCCGATGGTTGCTCCCGAAAACAGCATGGTCTTCAGTGAAAAGCCATCTGAGAATTCGTCTTAAAAGATTGGCCTTGAGGCTGTTGGCTGCATGGATTTCGTGGCTTATGGCCTGGGCACCTGGGCCAACTCGATACGCGGCCAGGCGTTGAAAGTGAGCAGAAGCTGCAACAGCCATGCGCTGGTCTTTTGCAAACGCAATGTGGCGCGCCCCACCATTTCAACTTCCAAGCCTCAAAGGATCAACCAAGACCCACTCCAACTTGGCAATTGAAACGTGAACCTTTTAAGAGAAACATGTCCCAACCCACCCCTTCATTGCACCCATCGACATGTCCCGTCAATTTTCAGCCGAAATCGGCTCCGTCGAAAGCTAAGTCACAATAAGAAGCGGTCGGTATCGTATATGGTCTATCATTCAACATGCAAGGAATCTTCACAGTCAGATTTCCGCGCCCATCTATGGTGATTTTCCCTTACTAACCTCACTTCCGGAGTGCATAGGCCAAACCCAGTCCCCAACCTATTTTGTTTACCACCAAAGGCCGACCAAGCCCAAAAAGGTGACGTTCATCAGCACTTCAATGTGTGAGGTTGATGTTGCTTCGCTCGTCCCCGTGCTGCAATCGAGTTCTTTCAAGAGAATCGGCTATCGGGGCCTGCCTTTTGACTCGTTCCCTTAGGAAAAGAAGGCCCTGTGAGACAAAAGTGACGCTTCCGTCCGAGTTCCGGAACTCCTTTTGTGAGTGAGTCACCGTTCATCTGCCCCGGTTTCGATGTTTCGGCTTGTGGCTGTTGCTGGGCTTGGGACCTCCAAGTCCTCCATCTGCTGCCGCGAGATGCCGAACCTCAAGCCGGGGAAACCCGGTGGCTTCTTGGTTTCATGTTTTCTTCCTTTCATTTTCGCTGTTTGTTTCTTCTTTTGGCTTTCCCTTTTTTATGTTTCTTTCTTTCTTTCTTTCTTTCTTTCTTTCTTTCCGTATTTATGTCGCGCTCCCCCAAAATGGGGGGTTGTTTTGTTTTTGTTCTTTTTGCCAGGGAGGTGTTCTTTTTGCGTTCTCCATTTCAACCAACCCAAACAAGGGTTCCTTCAAAAGCAGACACACCCGTTTTGCTGGAACGGCGCAACCTTGCTCGGCGCCTATGCCCACGTCTCGACATGGCTGGAAGAGCGCTAGGAAGGAACACACGTACGTGAAAGGGAAACGCTCCCTGCTTTGGGTGCCTGGTCGGTTTGTCGAGCTCAACGCCAGCACCGGTCTATTCACCGACCTAACCCGAAACTGCCCAAGCGGCCCCTTTTCAAGGGTGCACAAGGAGAAGCCAAGGAATTTAGGCGTACACTTCAGGAAACACCCGAATCCAGCACTTCAGCGCCTAGTAGCTACAAAGCCACACAATTGCCATCCTCTTGATCCCTCTACCCGAGCGCCTGGATCCGCTAGTGTCATTGAGTGGAGAAATCAAACATATCCATCACCTCATTAGCATATGTTCTTTACCGCAAAAAGCGGACGACGCGAAATTGCAGATTGTTGCATTCCCCTTGGGTTTCCTTTAGGACCAATTAAAGTTCTCCGAGTTCAAGGAGACTTATTGTTCTAAGTTTCTAAGGGCCGCGCGGGAAAGGGCTGAAACTTGACAGACCAACATGAAACCTCCCGCTGAAATCAATGAATTCAGGAGAACTTACTAATAGAAACAAACCGGAAGCAGTTTTCGGAGGGTTCCGCACCCACCCCAGTACCGAGCCAAAAGGCCAAACCCACCTAAAAATCGACGGGCTTCCAAGGGATCCGCTGAGCGTGTTCTCGCTAACTAGCCTTGTCTTCCCCGCGCTCGCAACCCGGTGCGGAAAACCCCGCGCAGCCGCGCCACCACGTGCAGGAAAAAAAGCGCGCTGGGGCCCGGGCTCCTTGAGCAAGGTGGTCTTGAGGAAGACCTGCACGTTGAAGCCCTCCCCGGTCATCGAGAAGGTGAAGTTCAGGTGCTTCCTGCGAAACGACTTCAGCTGGGTTGATTCAGGGCTCGTCCCCTGGTTGCGGGAAACTCCGAAGGCAAGACATGGCCAAGGTACTGTCTGTTAAGAGGCCCCTTACGGTTTGTCAAAGAGAGGGCCCATTTCTATATGGCACATATCATCTTTTTTGTGGTGTTCCCTAGTCTAGGTCCTCCAGTAGAGAAGTTAGAATAAGCGTACCCTTTTTTCTGCAGTCTATTTTAGTAGGGGGTTTCCCTCCCTCCGAAAAGGGGTGAGAAAGGGCACCTAGCTGGTGGACCTAGATAACCATCCCCGATTTGGTTTCCTTTCAGGGACTGTCATTCCCTACCTGTGGGAAATGGACTGACCCAGCGGAAAAACAATCCCCCCATTTTCTGCTGAATTCCCCTCCGCAGCAACGGACCTAGTAATGGTCATCCCGTGCATCACGGACCTTTTGACCAACCCTTCGCTGAGCGCTGGCTCAAGGCCACGTGCCTGGTCTTTGGAGCCAGCTTCTCGTGCATGCGGACCACCACACCTGCGGTGCAAGGCCCAGCCTGGACGAAGTAAAAGCTTCACAACCCAAACGGCATGGGCTTACAAAACAACACTGATTGGTTTTTTGCAGCCCCCCAAAAGTGAAGAGAAACAAACTAAAACCAAAAAAACAAAGCACAAACAGTATGCCAAGACAGGCAAGGTGATCGCCTTTCGGGACTGGACAAATGGACGAACACCGGAAAACCCAAAAGGTCAAGGAAGAGGTCGCTTGGCATTGGACAAGCTTTGCTCAGACCTCCTCGGCTGCTCAAACATGGTCGGGACAAGGAGCGTCAAGCCAGGGCCAAGAAGGCGAACTCATGTGCTGAAGCTCTGGCTGTTCCAGTGAGACATCCCAAAAGGTACCCTCGAAATGGTGGTTGAAACAGGGTTCTTTTACCCGACAATACTCGCTTCCTGAACGAATGTCGGGTTGTGCAAAAGACGTCCAAACGGGGTGGTTTGCCACGAACATGTTAATGAGCCAACCCCCCCCCAAAAGCGACAAAATTCATCCAGTCCAAGTCCAAGTTCCTTGGTTCATTTTAAGCAGCGTTTGCCACTTTTGGCGGGTAGAACCCCAACGAAGACGCTCCGCCTTTGGACTCCAGCTGCCCCACAGAGAAGGTCCTGCCGTTCGGGTCGGGCCGTTGTGCCGTTTGTTAGGAAACCCAACGGAAGGATTCGAGTCCCCAACTCACATGCCAACAAACGTTGCCGTGGTGGAAACCGTGGTTTCTTACGGTGTTCTCATGTCGTGGGAAATGGATTTCGTCCATCCACAGCCAGATATAACAGGTAATCACCTTTTGGGTGACTAAACCTGGTTCAAATGGATTTGGGTATAAATGGATTTCGTCCATCCATCTTGCTTTTGGGTGACTAAACCTGGAGCAACTCTGAGAAACCAGAAAAGCAACATCAGGTCGATTCGCTTTGAGCAAGGGGAAAGAAACCTTCGGACACCGGAAGGGCCATGTTAGGGTAGAATTTCCTTTTCGACACAGCCCAACAGAACCGCAACCAGGGGGAACATATGTATATATATATATATCTATCTATCTATCTATCTATCTATCTATCTATCTATCTATATATATATATATTGGCATTCCTTCAAGCGCGGGTATTTTGAGGGTATCTTGGCTCCTATGCCCATTGAAGGGCGTAGGAAAACGGAACCCTGAGGCCCTCAGGTGGGCTTTTCAGGCGACGGATGGCGGGGAATCGGGAACCCATGGCAACAGTTTCCATGTGGGTTCCCCTTTGAACAGGCTGAATTTCCCCCAAAGTGGATCCATGTACTGGTTTCAAATGAAACCAGAAAGCCACTTTCCGGAGGTTGCCTTTAAAGGGAAATGGAGGAAACCGTACAAAACCAACCCTGCAAGAACCCTTACAAACAGTGCCACCAGCTGAGGCCCAAGCTGAGTTGGGATCACCGACTCCTTCAACTCCTGCGGACATGTCGCTGCGATGCGCAGATCTGGTGGCGCAGTTGTAACTTTAGCCAGGTCCTCCAGTAGAGAGCTTAGAATAAGGGTCCCCTTTTCTGTAGGGAACCCTCCCCCAAAAAAGGGCAAAAGGGCACTGCTGGGGGACCTAGTTAGTGTTTTTTTCTTGGTCGGCATATTTCAAACAAAGCAAATGAAAGCCCTGGATATAAGGGGTTCAAGCATGCCTTCCAACCCGAATGGCCCGCTTTTGCCCGCAGATCCGGTTCCCAATGAATACAACTACTGGCTGGGCCCTTTCTTTGGCAGAGGGGATTTAAGCGTTTAAGTCTCTCTGCATTGCCGGTGATTGGGTGTGCCTTTTTTAGGGCACCCACAAAATGGCGCAACCGTTTTCCTGGTGGCTTCCCTTTAAACCCCCCCATAAAACCGGTTACCCCCCCAGGAAAAAAAGGACACCCCCTGTTCCAGTCAAAGCTCCCAGCCAGGTGCAAGGCGAGCAACCAGCGCCTGAAGCTTGGTCTTGTCCCGGTCTTCATCGTTGCCCATGAGATCCAGCACCTTCTGCCCCGGCCTGGCAGTCTTGTGCGCCGCCATTTTTTTCGCTTTTTCTGTGTGCTTTTGTTGGTGTCTTTTGCGGTGCCTTGATGGGTCGAACAAAAGGGAGGCAATTTCAGCGACTGGCTTGGAGACATGGAGGCTCGCTTACCTGGGCTGTCCGTTTTCACATCCCCTGCCCAAAGTTTCAAAAACTTTGGCAATTGGCTGAAATGGACCCCCCCCACGAAACCCTTAAAAAACCCAAAAACCTCAGCGGGGGCCGATTGGTGACACGGCTGTGGCTCAAAAAACCGGAATTCCAAAATGGGTTGCCCGATCGGTAAGTGGAAACATGGAAACCAAAACCTGCGGTTTGGTAACCCCTGCTGCTGAAAATTTTGAGCCCCACCCACATGTGATTTTGCCTCCTGGCACCCAGGGCCGAGACCCTGCCCTCCGCCGGCCCCCTTCCACTGCAACTTGCCCAAAGGACCAGGAATCAAAAGGCCAACCTTTCGGGGCCAAGCAACGAAGCAAGCAACCAACCAACCCAACCCAGCCCTAGAACCAACCAACCCAACCCAGCCCTAGTAAGAAAAGAAAAATAAACAGGCCTGGGGAAAACAAAAAAAAAAGACGGCTCGCCTTTCGGGACCTTGACAAAAAGATCCCAACATGGCACAGGGGCTTGGCCAATCCAAGAGGAACTGGCAGCTCCAGGTACCCGCCCTGCCACAGGGAGAAGCTGCTGATTCGCCCGAGGTGCAGTTTGGTGTTTTCCCTCTGCCAAACCAGGGCTTCAATTCCCCAATCCAAACATCTCTTCCTCTTCCCGTATGGCTGCAACAAACAAGCTTGCTTTTTGCCGCCCCTACTAGTTAACATTGACCGGAACGAAAAAATAACAACAACTTGCCAAGAACCAGCCCCCCCCCCCAAAAAAAAAAAAACAAAAAAACCGAGCGCCGGGCGTGGGCTTGGTCTTGCGAATGCGCCTCCGGCTTGGCGCTCGGAAAAAGAGACGCGCATGGGGCGCTTTCCTTCTTTCACACGTGCTCTTTCTGTGAGGGAATGTGGTTGAATGAACCCAGAGGTCCACAGGAAAAAAAAAAGGCATGAACCCAGAAATTTGCACAAGGGATGGGGGGTGAATGTGGTTGAATCAACCCAGGGATCCACAGGAAACCCCCTTTTTCTACCATGTCCCTGGCCAGCTCAAGGGCTGCCTCTTCAAAAGCAAATTTGGATACCCCCAGCTCCCTAACGGCTCCGTTCCAACCACCGGCTAGCTGTTGTCACTTGGGTTGCAAAATTGGGTTTGGGATGTACATGGGTGCTCCCCTTTTTGGGTTGCCCCCCTTTTTGGGTTGGTGTAAAGGGACAACAAAAGGAGATCCAGTTTGGGGGGTCGAATTCCCACAAAAAGACACACCCACATGAGTGCTTTGCCAAAAACGGGTGGTTTCCTTTTGACCCCTTTCAGGGACCGGCTTTGCCATGAGGATCTTTGGGGATCCGAAATGGTATTTCATTTTCTTGAGCCAAGGGAAAGTCACCTTGGACCAAAAGCTGAAGTATACAGTCCCCTGCTGGACTAGACCTTCACCATGGTCCCTTTACCAGACTCATTTGGCCAGGTCAGGTGATCTACGCCTGCCAGTCTGGCTTGGCCTTTGGGAAGCAAGAAGTGTCAGGAGCATCAGGTCTTTCTGGCACCAAGCATTGCAAGCGTGCTCCCAACTGGAGAAGAAACATGCGGAACGAACGCCCCCACACATAGGAAGCAAATGTTCTCCATTTCGCCTCAGTGGGCCAGGGGAAAGACTTTTTTAAACTACTGCCAGGTGGAGAACTATTCGCCTGACTCTGATCGCTGTGGAAAGGGAGGTTGAAAGGAAACGAACCCAAGGACGCGCCGTTCAAGGGACATCCAACGAAACAATCCCCGTACTTCTAACTGGAGATCCACCGGAATGAACATGTGGTTGAAAGGGACCTCCAAAGCAAGTGCACCCTTCAAAATGGCGTTTGATTCTTTAACGTCCTCACTTTCGGCCCTCCAGTAGAGAGGTTAGAATAAGGGTATCTTTTTTCTGTAGTCTATTTTAGTAGGGGAACCCTCCCCCGAAAAGGGCAAATGGGGACCTAGATGAAGAATTCAGTTCTTGTTTTTGTAATTTCCACCCAGTGGAGAGGGAGTGCTTTGAGATTGAGAACTCCTGCAAGGAATAGAAAACTCGGGGAGTGAAAGATTCCTTCAAGCCCCAGGCCCTTACTTCCAGAAAAAGTGGGGGGTGTCATTTTTTGGAGGGTTGCCCCTTTTTGGGCTTGTTTCAAGGGGAAGCCAGCAGGAAAACAATATTCTTATGCTTCTCCTCCTCCTCCTCCTCCTTTTCTGGGAGGATGGTGCGTGTCCCAAAACCGGCCACGCCCTCCCGAACCGAGGCATCTGCTGCTTGATGCGCCGCAGCCGCAAGATGGCGATCTTCTCTGAGCGCTGCGCCGCCTCGAGGCGAAGGCCCAAGAAGGCGACGATCCCTACCCAGAGGCTGCCGATGCATTTAGGGCCCTCAAACCAAGGGCGTCTTCTTGCGACCTTTTCTACGAGAGAAAATGGGGGGCGACCCCCTCATTTTAAGGAATCCTTCACTACGAAGGCTTTGAGACCCCCAAACACCGGGGTGTCTAATGGGGTCGGGTCTTCCATTGCAAGCCCCAGGAGCCTCTGGTCTACACATTCTCGATGTAATCCAGACAACTGAGTTTGTAAAAGGAGCTTGTGGTTTTAGTAAAAGAGCCTCTGGAAAAAAAACAAGCATTTTTACTTGTTGGAACAAACAAACAAGCTGCTTCTTTAATTGCCATTGGGGGATTTGCATGGAATGTTCGGGGGTCCACTTGGAAAGCACAGAGCTTTGGTTTTATTTGTGACATGGGCTTCTTCCTGGGCTTTTTCCCAGATCTGCGAAAAGTGACTTAACAAACCAACTAAAAAGATATAGAAAAGGCTGGGCCCATCTGTCCGAAAATCCGCCCACCCTAACACCCTAAGCATCTCAAGTGTTTTTGGGAGGCCCCGAGGCCCTGAGGCTCTGGGTCGGGGTTCTCCGGTTCTTTGGGAGGCCCTTTCCTCCTAGGAAACGGTGTGGGTGGAACCATATTTTAAAAAGACAAGAGTACTGAAAGAGTACTAAAACAGAACCTCCAGGGGGAAGAACAGGTGAAATCCACAAAAACACACGTCCGAAACGTTTCCTAGAAATCTTGGGTGATCCGGTCCGGATGGGCAAAGACCCTGCAATAAACTCTCAAGTAGAAAATCGCTCTGGGATCGGAGACCCCACCATCTCTCTCTTTCTCTCCCATTGGTTTTGCTGGGAAGCAACGAAGAGCGGCTTGCATTTGGCAGATGCGGAGGCCCACCCCGAGACCGGTCAAAACCGGGGTCCGAGCCATTTTGGGAGGCTGGACTGAGGAACTTTGTCGGGGATAGCTCAGGAAAAGGTCACATGCCAACCAAGAGGAATGTAGCACTTGCTGGGCCATTGAACAAACAGCGGCAACCTTTTCGGGGGTAGGTAGTTGAGTTGATATGCAAATCTAGAGCTATAAAAGTTTGTTAATATTTGTACATATACATATACATAATGTATATATATATATATGTGTGTGTGTGAATATAACATAAGTTATGCCACACATAATGATATAATGCAAATACCAATCTATGTTATTGCTAATTGTATCATATGTATACATTAATATGTTTGCGCATTTCTCTCCAAGAAAAGAAGTACAGTGAGGGCTCTGAAGGTCTGAGAAGGTCCGACTCAATCCCAGCTGGGGGCCCCGGCAGCCATGGTGATGCGGCTCGGGCACGCGCAGTCCCTAAGGCGACAGACACTGCGATCGGATGTTTTTTCGGGCAAAGGCGCCACTCCTTTTCGTATTTCTCACGTCCGATCGAGTGAATGGGCCAAAGAAAGCAAGCCAGACTTTTGTGCTTACCGCCAAAAGGGTCCAACCCAAGTGGCTAAAATCTGAGATTCGGAACTCAGGAGGTGATATGGGGCACTATTTAAAACAAAACAAGCACCCGTATGACAATCTCAAATGGAAGCTACTCGAATGCCGACTTTCCCGCAGAGAAATTCCTTTTTTGACAGCAAAAAGGCGGCCCACACAGAAAAGACCCCTATCTCACTTCCTGAGTGGATGGCCAAAAACAAAGTTCAAATTTGGCGTATGCTACCTAGGTCCTCCGGTAGAGGTACCCCTTTTCTGTAGCCTATTTTAATAGGGGAAACCTCCCCCAAAAAAGAAACGGTAGAAGGACACTACTGGGGGACCTAGCCACTAAAATGGTCTTCCCAAAAAGTCTAGTCCATGGACTCAGGAAGCTAGCTATTTCTCAAAATGGGGAACCCATCGTGCTGGATTCTGCCACACAAACGAAGGAGGGTTCGGGTCCATGTCTGCGTTTATGACACGTCCACAGCCTTGGCGCGCGTGCCTGGGTTTAAGGAGACTTGCGAAGCTGCTGACTTCAAGGCGTTTTCAGGGCCCAACCTTTGGGCTGGGAGCGGGTTCAAAGGTTGGAAGCCGCGATCTTTTTGGAGCTCAGGCTCCGGCATGCTGGCCTTACACACCTCCTGCAGCGTCTCCTCAGCCGGAAAAAAACCGACACAAACGCTTCGTCAGCGCACGCGCGAAAGCCGTCGAAAGCTTTCGGATTCCGACGGATTTCGAGCTGAGCTGGGGACCACTTGCTCCTGCGAAAAGCGGGCGAGTCAAGCCCAGGTGTCCTTTGGATGGACGGAATCGATGAGAGCTTTTGTTGGTTTGAGGTGGGGGGCTCCTCTTTCGGGGGGAAGTTGGGACTCTTGCTTGAAGAATTGGGTAAATTCTCTGACCACCAATCATATCAAGGGCATCAATTCAAGGTGCCCTTGGGTGGTTTGGGGATAAGTGGAAATCATGATTGAACATGATTAAACCCTCTTCCTCCGAATGGGATTGAGGGTGCGCTCAAACAAATGTTGCCCAAGCCTTTCTCCAAAGCCCACCGACGAACATGGGACCCAGCCCCTTTGCCCTCCCAGTCGTAACACTTGGAATCCATGTTGGTGGGGCCTCCAAACGCTCAAAGGGCCAGCGTATTCTCTCCAAATCGAATCCATCCGGATGAAACAGAAAAAGGCTTTGCTTGTGCTTGTTGACTCCCCGGGTTCAATAGATGTCCAATGGTCCCTAAAAAGTCGAAACTGGACATCCACCTCGGATCTTCGGACGAGCCTGGAAGGCCCTACTAAACCGAAGAATCCTCCTCAAAAGGAAGGGTGTTCTGAAAATAGTGGGTGCCCCAAAATGTTTGAACACCATTTTTGAGAGGCACTCAAGGGATCATCTCGGTGTGTCTTTAAGTGGCGGACCCCAAACAATTGCCCCAAACTTGTGGATCATATATACTTTGGGGACCCCCCAAAATACAAAAAAAACACCTGGATCGCCAGTTGCTGTTTTTTTTCCCCATGCACTTTACCTGAAAGACCAGCAACATGTGACTCAAAAAAGCGATCGCAACTTGGCTATCTAGGCCTACGCTCCTTTTGGCGTCTAAGTTAAGCAACGCAAAGCCATGTGCCAACCATCCACGGCCTTCAAGTTGTTCAGGTAAGACTCCCTGGACTTGAGGATCTGGTTGTTCCGTGAAGCCGTCTCTTCCAAGTACCTGGGCACTTGGGACTAAATAGCGCGCCCAAATAAACCAAGAGTTGCCTTGAATATAGGTGTGCTCGAGGACACACAGAAGGGCCCTGGCAAATGGAATAAAACCCATCTATTTCTACTCCAACCAGCCTAAAAAGGACACCTATGTGCTTGAATAACTCCTTCAATGAAAACAATCTTGAATTTAAACAGGCCAGTACATCGCCCTTCAAACATCGCCTGATTTCATGCCGTGTCCACCGCACCATTTCGAAGGTGCTAATGTGCGATGTGTGTCACCTGCCCCTCGCGAGCGCAAGTCGGAAGAGTCGGACGCTGCCCGAGCCGGGCCTGTAGTGCACCCAGCGGCTCTGCACAGCTCGATCCTGCGACCGACTTCGAATTCTCAACGAAGGGCATTCTGAACCGGGGTCGGGGGGGGGGGTTGGGGTGGGGGGGTGGGGTGGGGTGGGGGAAAAGGCGGGGGTGGGAAAAAAGAGAAAGGACCCCGGCATACTGTGGATGGACAAAATCCATTTCGCACCATCATGGTGGAAACCATAACGTTAGTTGGTATTTACAGGGGATCATATCATTCTAGGGTTTCTCAGGTGGTGCAGGATTTCGTCCATCCACAGAAGCTGGGTGGGGTGAAATGAGATCCCGGCAATGTACCGCATGAAGTCGTTCACATCGTACTTCTCCTGGCATAGCATGCGTTCTGCAATTTCTAACATAAATTCCAAGAGCTGAATTAAGCGAAGTCTTCCAGTAAAGCACCTTTGTCATGGTAAGCTCGCTATGCTCCCAGGTGAGCTCGCATGTGCCGCATGCGAAACCGCGGGAATGCAGGGACCGGGTCCTGCAGCAAATATTCGATGAACTTCTTGCCCTCCTGATGGCGGGCGCGGATGGACGTCTGGGCGGTTTTCACTGTGAGACCGGAAAAACAGAGTTCCCTACGATTCCCCCCTTGAAACATCACGAAAGGGAAACTAACTTTAAGCTGGCTGCCTTTGGGGCACCCCCGCAAAAAAAAAAAAAAGCTCAGGGATCCCCGAGCAAAGGACCTTTGTCATGGTGAGCTCATGGTACGCTATAAAATGACTTGCTGTGTCTCAAATTGAGAAATCTGGTGCCAAGAAACGCAGGTGCAAGTGAAAATGGGGCACGCCGCCTTTGCAGCATTGTATAACCCCTATATAACCACTCTATAGTCATGTTTTTGGGTATGTGATTTCGGGGTATGTAGAAAAACCCTTAGATCAATAGGAAATCCAATCCGCCACCTCCAGATCCATGACGACGCCCCGCATCTTGCTGGAGGCGTTGCCTGCAGAAAAAGAAAGCGGCTGGGGGGCCCCAAATCTGGGCGACACAAGACATGAGCTGTTCCGATTCTCTTCCAAGCAGAAAATGTCATAAATGGGTATGGCTCAAAAAACCGGTACCAAACTGGAACCCTGGTAAGTGGATTCTCTTCCAAGCATTCAGATGTCATAAATGGGTGTGGCTCCAAAAAGACGGAATTCCAAAATGGCTTGCCCTAAGTGGAAACTTGGACCAAAACCTGCGGTTTGCCCTAGCTCTTTAATTTTGAGCCACTGCCAAATGTTGTTTTTTTTCCCGGGGGGGAAGGCCCCAACTCTCCCCAGATCTTTGCCAAAGCCAAATCTTAGCCGCCACCCGCCAACACTGTGCCCAGCTCACTCCCCGGAGCCCAAAATTTCGAGCCCAACTTGCCACTGAAACTCATCCACCCCAACGTCTGAAGCTGAAATTCTTAGCTCACTTGCCCAAAGGACCCAGAAATAAAAGGTGATCACCTTTTGGCAGCTCCACTAAAAATGGTTGCCAAAACGGGAAAACCAAAAGGTCAAAAGGTCGATTCGCTTTGGGCAACTGAGTTAAGAAACGGACACTCTGGCTGAGCCCAAGGCCATCTTTGATGTCCTGCTGCAGGGCCTTTTGGATCTTGCTGAAGCTCGTCCTGGCCGATGTTCTGGCGGATTTGTTGCCTGCCATGTGAACTCGGTCGCGAAATCTGCTCCCCTGCTAAACGTGACGTCACGACTTTCAGTGGTTTACTGGAAAACCCATTTGGCAAAAATAGTTAAAGTCCTAACATCCAAGCAGAATACGCTAAAGTTAATGGTTAGCCCCCATCAGCAAATATGTCCAGTGGTAGATGTCCTTGGAAACCAAATAGGCGAAAATGAAACCTATTCTTAAGCAAATTGCGGCTTCTGAGGGCTTGAGCAGCGCATCTGATAGAGTCTGAGTCTGCTGCAAGGATTCGGATCCAAGTCGGCTGGAAACCGCGACATCCTTTGAGTAGGCCAAATGTGTCCAGAATGGATGCTGAAAACCCCCTGTTCCTAGCCAGTTTGTCCCATTCAAGAAAGCCTGTATCATCCTGTGGAAACAAACTAAACACCCCTGCCAGCTTGGGCAATCCGGGGTCAACATCCCAACTTCCGGCGAGGACAAGCCTACGCCTGTGGTTCCAAAGGCCGCGGGGGTGAAACGGGGTCAAACCGTATACTTTGCCTTTAAAGGCTCATTCCTACCAAGGGAAATTCGCCTTTTCTTGGTTGACGTTGGAAAGGGAGCAACAAAAATCAAATCTTAGCAGTTAAGTGGTTGGATTTCCACCACTAAACCACAACAAGCAAACATGTAAAAAATGGTTCCCAACAACAACCATGTCTAGGTCCTCCAGTAGAGAGGTTAGAATAAGGGTACCCTGTATTCTGTAGTCTATTTTAGTAGGGGAACCCCTCCCCTAAAAAAGTTGGTAAAAGGACACTACTGGGGGACCTACCAAGGGAAAGTCGCCTTGTACTTGCTACCAAAGGACGTGAAACAAAAACACCTCGCCACGGGGCGGAATTGAACTGAGGCCCCGTCTTCAAATCCATCCAGCTCCGACCTGGACACGGATTGGAACCGAGGGCTCCCAAAAGAGAACCGTGGCAGCCTTCCATTTGGGGTTGAAAAAAGAAAAAATAGTCATAGGTGTCCTGTTGGGCTAAACAGATGGCCCTGGTAGATGATGAAACCACCCAGGCAAACCAGGGCCAGGGCCATATATGTTTCTACCAAAACAGCGAAAAAGGACACCTACATTTCCAGTAGTGATGAATTCCTTTTAAAACCAACAAGGGGAAATAAACAATATGCGTCACAGCAAATGGAGGCACCTGAAAATGGCCACTCGGGAAAACTGATCTTCCAGGTACCCTCCCTCAAACCAACAAGGGGAAGGAAAAAAACACGATTCTTAAGCAAATGGAGGCACCTGGAAATGGCGCCTCGACCAGGTACCTGCTTGAATGGGTAACCTGGACGAATGGACGAATGGACAGGTCAGATCTGCGTTGTGGACAACTGAGACTCAACTTGGGTGGAGTTTCTCACCCAACTCCGGCCATTCACCTTAGAGAAAAGGGGTGAACAACAGCAAGTAAGTTGGGTGTGTTTTTCTTGGGAACCAATCCCCCTAAAATACAAGAAACAAATGGAACCAATGATGATGGGATTCCTTCTCATTTCCCTATGAAACCAACACAAAGGGGGTACCAACTCCAAAAAAGGAACCACTGCACTGGCCATGGTACCCTTGAGGGCATTCACGTGACGGCTTTTTTTCTCTCAGAAAAGCCACGCCGTCGAAATGATAGAAGATTCGCGCAGGCAGCGACTTGGGAAGTTAAAGAAAAGTGAGTCATAATCAAAACCTGGTACAAAAATGGTGAACCCAGAACCATGCAAGGAATTGAAAAGGCGGCCGCACCAATTTATGGCTGGGATTGTCCCTTACTAACCTTCATCTACCCGGGGTTTGATTGAGGCTCAAGTTAAAAACACTTCTGGAACCTTGACTTCTAGTAACCTTGCGGGTTCTCAGGTGAGAATTGGAATGTCCAGTTTTTCAACCATCCCGATGGTTTCCTTTCAGGGAATCCGCCAGGTTCATTCCCAACACCCGGAAGGGCATTCCCTACCGGGCACCGGCAAGTAACCAGCGATTTGCTGCCTTGCAGTCTGTCTTGCCGCCCCCCCCCTTCCAGGAAAACCGGATCTCAATCCAGCGATCCGGAAGCTGGCCAAAATTCATGGGACGGACCCCAGGGTATTTCCAGCCCCCGCGTTTTCCATGGTCTTTGGCTTGGTGAATCTCCAGGCTGAACTGGCTGGAAACAGATCGGTGGCGTGGGATGCTGGCGGCGCCTTTATTAGTCGCGGAAGCTGACTGGGTCCCGGAAGGCCACTTGGGTGTGGCTCAAAATTTAAGAGCTAGGGTTACGCAGGTGTTGGTCTTTGTTTCCGTTTTCCTCCACTTATCTGGGGGCCATTTTGGGTACGTGTTTTTGAGCCACAGCCATTTGGGTGTCGGGCAAAAATAGGGTAACCCTCAAACTGGGTTGCCCCGTCGGTAAATGGAACCAAGGACGAAACTTGGTGTTCCATATGGTGGTTTGACTGTTGACCCATACCCATTTCATTGAAAAGCGGGGTGCCATTCCCCCATGTAAACTTAACACCCTAGGGGGGGGGGGGAAAAAAAAGCAACAATTTTCCTTGTAGTGAAATCGATTCCCTTTACATCCAACCGGGGAAACTCAACAACCTATTCCTTTCAGCCAATGGACGCATCGGTTCCACAGCTTGACTTCGGATTCCGAGGCCGGCACCGGCGATTTGGTATTTCACGTCGTCGTCTTCCTAGCACCCAAAAAAAACGCGTCATCTTTCCGGCGGAAAGCGGCCGCTTTTTGGCAGAAGCAGAGAACCGTTCGCTTCAAACCAACGCCAGACAGTGCAAGGGACCAACTCCTTGCAAGAGAGCCCCCGCGACTAGTACATCCCTCTGATCAATCCAAAGTGAACATGTGCCATGGTCAAAGTGCTCCTGCGGGTACTGTCCATAGTTCCCATGATTCGTCCGGATCCTCTCTCCCCCCCGAGCAAAACAATGAATGCTGCACTGCGCTGCGCAGCGAGCTGCCATGCTCAGGCGGCCACCCGTTTGTTTCCGGAGAGTTCTTGGATGATGTCCTGGCCAGCTTTCGTCTCGTGGCTGATCATGTCAGGCATGCGTCAAAAAAAAGAAGAAGCTTGGCTACCTTTCGGCCTTTAAATCTTGCAAACCTTGTCTGACTCTGTTTCATATTCAGCCTATGGGAAAATCAGTTTGCAGACCCCACTATTAACTTGGCACCCAGAAAAGAAACAACACGGCTTGTCAGTTTTAAGTCTACTGGGCACGCAAAAAAAAAGAGCTCAAGAAGCAAGCCCAGGCCTCCAGCTGCTGAAACCTCAGAGCTGGCTGGCTTGTCACCTATCCCGGGCAAGGCGGGGTTGGTTTATACTCCGCCTTAACCTTTTGGATGCCGCGCGAATCTGTGGATCTACCCAACAGGATATGAGCCATCACTACTAAACGAAATTATTGGACAAGGACCTGCCAAAAAAAGCTGCGGACATCCAAGCCCGCATCCAAGCCGTTGTCTGCACATGCGGATGGTTGCGAAATCCGCTTCTCATGGCAGAAGCCATAGCGTTCACCTCCATGTTGGTTGAACATGTGGTGCTTCTGCAGTAGAGCTTGTGGGAGCGATGGCCGCAAAATCATCCTCAAAGAAGGTAACACATAGAACAACAAAAACATAAAACATCTGGGAAAAACAAAAAACAAACAAGTAAACCATCCCAAACAAATAATTAAGAAGGTAGGCCGGCAAGAAAGAAAGAACAAAGACACAGAGTAAGCTTCCCTCCCCACCGCCCTTCGCCCCATGAATGGCCACAGTGGCTGCCAAGGTGCACGTTGACCACCCCCTCGTGGCCTTCCACTTGCAGCCTCGATGTGTCTTTTTGGTGGTGGTACCCGTTTCACCGAAATTTTGACACTCAAAGGGTTTGGTTACAGGAAGATCTACAGGAGTTGGCCCCAAATCACCGTAGATAGGCAGTGTTCCCGTAGAATGTCCTGTAACCCAACCCTTCGAGACACATACTGTAGGCCCTCCAGCAAAGAAGTAAGAATAAGTTGGTACCAACTTTTTTTTTCTGTAGTCTATTCTAGTAGGGGAACCCTGCCAAAAAAGAAAGGTAAACGGGCAATAACAGACCTAGTTTGTCAAACATGCTCCAAGAATCGCCCTGACCTTCCCGCCCGCTGCCGGGCCTCGGCGTATCCTGGCCGAAGGCCGAAGGGCGATGGGGCCCATGGCTCATTCACCCCATGGCTCATTCACCCCATGGACTGACTGTGGAATGCCTGAAGGGGATGGGCCTATAACCCTTAACATGCTAGGATTGAGGAATTGCAAGACCAACGTCTTCTGGCAGCTTTGGCGGCTGGACCCCAACTAAGCCATTTGGATCTCAGGGTTTGGCTTTGGGGGGAGCTAGGGGGGGGCATAGCATCCTATGAAGGTAAGCACAAGGGGGTTGGGTAGAGAAGACCAAGGATTCCGGCTCCCCAGGCTTCCCGAGGGTTAGGGTAGGGACCCCACGGACCCAGAAGTTCCGAGACATCAAGGGACTCGCCTCCCATAGCAGTGGGAGGGTACCTGGAAGATCCATTTCCCCCTTGGAGGGGTCGGTGAGCTTGAGTAGAAATAGATGGGTCCCACTGGTGTAGATTGGCGGTTTTTTTTCTTCTCCATTTGTCAGGGAAATCCATCTATTTTCAAAAAAAAGGCCACCTATTGGGCCGTGCTTCTCCTGATTTCGCGCCTCTTGGATGGAAATCCTGCTATGGAGGAGCTTGGCATGGGATGGAAACCACCCATTTCAAGCTCGTGCCTGGGGTGGGATATTCCCTTTGTTTGTGGTAAATTCTCCCGGAGTGAGAATCCGCCAGGCCCAGGTAGGTCATCTTGCTGGGAAGCCGGGGCAAGGCTTGCCGGGCAAGGTCTCCATGAGAGAAAACCCTGAGACTTTTGCACGAACACCAGCGGTCAGGTAAGTAGCTGTTACCATGTAACCGGGGAAGGGGCTGCCCTACCCCTTTCACCAACATGGCGCCTGAAATGGATCAAAAGGACGCCTGTGCCACGGGCGAGGGGCGCCTCGTCCTCTGGGAGGGCGTACTTCTTGATGATGCTGAACTCCTTCTGGGTCCGTTGGAGCTCCTGGCCCGCCCAGCGCCCGTGAAAGGGGCCCCGACACCGGAAAATGGGGGAAATGGGGGTTGCATGCCTAGGTCCTCCAGAGAGGTTAGAATAAGGTACCTGTAGTCTATTTTGGTAGGGGAACCCTCCCCCAAAGAAGGGTAAAAGGGAACTACTGGGGGACTTAGAATTGTTTCCAGGAGTGAGCTAAGGCGTTGTATACCTTTGGTGTGGGGGGAGAGGGGAAAACGACTTGGGTCATCAGCATCCGCTCGCAACTTGGCGCAAAACCTCCAGACTCCCCAGCAGTGGCAAATACTCACTGACATTGGACCTAGGCTCGGCGGTCTCCTGACTGCCAGGTGAGCCCAAGCCAAGACTTGAGGCCAAGCCAGAGGTGCACCAAGCCTTTGAACCACTTACAAGTCCCCGCCCCAGCCTTCCCCCCCCATCATTCTTAGAGGAAACCCCTTTTGAAGTTGAAAAATACCCCCACCAACCCCCCCAAACACCTCTTGAAAAAAACCCTAAAATGAGCCATTGTTGGCGCAGTGTTTGTGTTTTTTCTTTGTGGGGGGAGGGGGGGGAGGGGGAGGGGGGAAAGAGGAGGGGGCCCTGCCCCCGCGTTGGGTTTTTCTCTTTCGGCACCCCGCTCCGAGGCGAGGCACATGGGCATCGGAGCCTGGCCAAGGGGCTGACTGCGATCCACACGAGCTCTGCCGTGATCGGTTGCTTTTGACTCTCTGCAAAAAGTATATAGCTTTTGTGGGTTTAGTGGAAAACACCAAACAAGTTAAAGCCTAAAGATCCAACCCAAGGGCAGTCAAGTGAGTTTGTTTTTGTCTCAAGAGGCTCAAAAACATATGCCAGGGGACAAGCAAAGGATCTGTAACCCCCGTCCAACAAAAACAAAAACAAAACCGTACCAGCCCATTTTATGAGACGGACGCATTTTGAGCCAAACCCCGGTTTTTCTGCAAGCCCCACCGCTCGGCGCCAGGTGATGGTTCACTCATATCATTCTCTCATTCGCTGAGAGCAGAGAAAGAATTAAAAATTGAAGGTCACAAAAGCCAGATTTGTTTTTCGGGCATGGGGGGGTTGTATCCTGTCCACCCCCTTGTTCGTCAAATTGCCCTTTTGGAGTAGGGTTGTCCCTGAGTGTGGTGGGGAATCATCACTTTTGCAGGGGAACACCCTGCCTATTAATAAACTGGGTTTGATTAATATGGGGAGAATATTAAATTATTACGGGTTGTCCTCTTAGGAAACATGGATCCCAAGTCAGGTACGGATCACTTCCACCTGGACGGTCCCATGATTCGCCTTCCTATGCGTGTCTCGTTTGGTGTTGCTTTTTAAATATAAACGAGACCCCCGAAGTGATGGTTTTCCTCTTGTCACATTCTCTCCCTTTGAGCCAACCGTTCAACAAAAAACATAAGCTCAGGTGATATCCCCAGCAGCATGTGGAACCCTGGTGGACCCTGACCCTCGTGGAACCCTCGTGGAACCCTCGTGGAACCTTACCTCCGGGCCGCCCCGGACCACCCCGGAGCCTATCTGGGCTGAGACCCCAAAGCTTTCAGCTGTTGGGGAAAAACAAACAAGAAACGCCTTCCATGTGATGGGTGGTTTGGAGCCGAATCGGTGATTTGGGGCGGTCCTCAGGTCCACTGCTGAAAGTTTGAATTTCAGTGGCTTACATGGCAACCTCTAGGAAACTGAAAAAAAAAAACTAACTGGGCCGCCCGATGTCAGATCCCCCACTAAAAGTCACAAAACCTTTTAGTGGGTTAAATTCGGAAACTACCACTAAACTAGCTAAAAAGCGAAAAGGCTAAGGGGATGGCTGGGAGCCACCAAGCTAAGGCGATGGTTGACAACCATCAAGCATTTCTCTGCAAGAACCGGGGACCAAACCCCCAAACCACCAATCCAAACCAATTCAATGCGCCCACCAAACAAAACACACACACTTCGACTCCCACGGCCCTAGCGTTCCTAAATGGCCATGGCCGGGACCGAAAAACGAGGGCTCGCCCACACCCGCTCAGCGGAAATTGGCCCTGAGGGAGCCGGCGAAGATCTCGATACTCATAGAACTTGTCCAAAGCCCCCAATCACCACCCCCCAACAAACCTCCATGTGTCCTATGCAAATGGCATCCGTCTCGGCTGGATGTTTCATCCATCTAAGGGCGAGATCAAACCTTGGTTGACGTTGGACGGGGAGCAACAACTCAAATTTTAGCAGTTAAGTGGTCGGATTTCCCGCTAAACCACAACAAGCAAAAATGTAAAATGTTTCCCAACAACAACCATGAAACATGGTCCATTTTCCTCCTTCTCAAGGGAGTGTGTTTGGGCGGGGGCGAGGGGAGTCCGGGGTGATTTCCTCTGCAGCTGGGTGTTTTCGGGGTTCCACGGAAATGTGTATGGTATCGAAATCGAAACGGAGGGGAATTGGTTAACTCTGGGAGATGACCGATGTTTTGGAGGAGGGGGCAGATGAGGCATGATTTGTGTTCGAAGATCCGAGGAATGCAGCATCAACGGAATATAATGAAGGCATTTCCCCGGTGATATGTGCATTGCTTTTACAATAGAATCCACAGAAGCATCGGGCGTTACGGACCCTTTGTGCCTGATAAGCGACCCTGTGTTGGTTTTGCATCGACGAGCTCGAACCTCCCACCTGCGACTTCATGCAGAAAATGGGCTCGTTCTCCGGCCCGCGCATGAACTCCAGGAACCTCGCAAGCAGCGAGACAAGAGACCCTTTCAAATGGGGGAACCACACACGAGCCTTCAAAATAACCATCACACCCAAAGCAAGCAAAATAAATCAATAATATGTTTCCCTGGAGATTCCAACACCCATAAATTTCTGGGCGTCTTGGGTAGGTACCATTGAAGCCGAAAAATGGGGCGTCCTAGTAGCCGCTGAAAACAGGCAAAAAAAAAACCTACCTTTCTTCCAGTCGATTGAAGCTGCAGGTCCTATGTTTCTTCAACAACCGCATCACAACTTTCATGGGGCCGTGGGCGTTGGAAAGGGGGGGGGTATTTGGCTCCTCCAGTAGAGAGGTTTCAATAAGTTGGCACCAACTTTTTTCTGCAGCCTATTTTTAGTAGGGGGTTTCCCTCCCAACCCCAAAAAGGAAACGGCAAAAGTTGGCACCAATTGCTGGGGGACCTAGTTGGGATCCCTTTTGCACCGCGCGTCTTGCGAAGCGCCCTGCCCTTCCAAACCGAGCGATGCGGCCTAGAGCATTGAACCCATAGGTGACCTAAACCGGAGAACATCGAGGGGGGTTCCCTTCATGGGGCATAAACATAGGTGTCCTTTTTGGATTTTAAGGGGAAATAGATGGATACCCCTGGTGGATGATTAAACCACCGGCCGGGTAAACCAGGAATCGCCGTCTATTGTTCGACCAAAACAACCAAAAAGGACACCGATGGGCATAAAGCCCATCTCCACTAAAACCCATCCAATTATTTCATTGCCCAAACTCACCGAGCAACAGGAGACGTATGAAATGGGACCAAATCACTGAGCAAGCCGCAACTCATGGCATCCTTCCAAGAACCTTTAGACTTTAAACAACCGAAGCTCCCTGCCCTACATGTTTGAATCCTCAGCGATCCCACTGGGGCGTGTCCACACCACCCACCCACCCACCCAGCCACAGCCACCCACCCACCCAGCCACTGAGCCACCCACCCCAAAAAAAAGAGCATGAACCAGAAAAACAAAAAGTCAACGACCACGGCTTTGGCTCCTGGGCTCCCTTTTTCGCCGCCCCAAAACCACACAGACTACCTTCCAAGCACCACCCCCTCGCCTCGCCCGGAGCTGGAAGTTGTGCCACTCCCCGTGCTGCTTCGCAAGCCTCTGCGAACCAGTGCTTCAACGAGATTTACGCTGCAGACACCCGCCAAAGGGAGACTCACCTCGAGCAAAGGGGAGATGTAAAATGTAAAACAAATAAAAAGATCGAGAAAAATGTCACTTCCACTCACTTCAAAAATTGGATCATTCAAAGCACAGGGGAAACGAAACCGCTCGGGAGATGGGATCTCAAGGATTCAATGGGACAATGTGGAGGGTTCTCTCTCTGAGAATTGGGGCCATGTTTCTCAGCTGGGCGGTTTCCTTATGTTTCCCTAGTTGGACTGGCTTATTCATTCTGATTCCTTCTGTCTTCCCACCGCAAAAATCCTATGGGCCCGAGCCCCCCAATGGCCCATTCCCCAATTCCCCAAGCGGGATTGGAAGCGGCAGAGTTAGGGGCTTCGGGTCTCGTTGATCCTGGCCACGGGAAATGAGTGACAGCTCCCTGCGAGTTTGCGGAAATCATAAACCTTGGAGATTTGGTGGTTTGGCTTTGGGGTGGCTTCCCAGTTGCCCTCAACAAGAACCGGGGGCTCAAATCCCCAATGGGGCGCTATGGGCAGGTCCTTTTGTAAGGGAGAGGTTAGAATAAGTTGGTACCGACTTTTTTCTGCAGTCTTTTTTAGTAGGGGAACCCTCCCAACCCAAAAAACAAAATTGCAAAAGTTGGCACCTAGCTGGGGGACCTAGAAGCACTTCCGGTGAGTTTCCCTTTTTAGTTTTTGTGCAGCAGTTGGTGTCTGCGGCCAGTTGGCACTCTTGGAAGCGATAGAGCCGCTGGCTTCCGTGGAAAGGCCGACTCCCTTTGGGCGGATTGGTATGCGCCTATGCCATGCTATGCCCCTCGTCTTCCGTGAGAGGGGTGCCCCCAATGCTCCATTCTTCCAACAAAAAATTGGGGCTCAAGAAATCCCCCTCTTTAACCCCCTTCCAAAGGGGTGCGGTAAAACTCCCTCCCTTTTTTCTGCCGAACTTCTGAGCTCCCGGTTTCTTTTTCGCATCCTCCCGTGGCTGCCCCTCGGGGCGGCGCCAAATGTGGCCATGGTGTTGAAACTCCGCGAGCTCCTGACACGCGTCGACCAAAACGGTTGGATCGAGATCGGTAATGAACACCCCCTATTAATAAACCCCTGTTTATTAATATGGGGGTGTCCCTGGTTTCAGTGGTGATTGCTCACTTTTGGAGGGAACCCCCCCCCCTATCAATAAACCGGGGTTGCAATCAAAAGCGATCGGTACTAAAATGGTCTACCCAGAACCATGCTTCAAGAACTAAGAAGGCGGCCAAAGGCTATTTATGGTTGGGATCATCCCTTACCAACCTTCATCTACCCGAATCGGTTATGATTCTGGCTCATGTGGATTTGTTCAGCAACCCTTTGTTCGAATGGGTTGCAGGAAAAAGTCTGCAGGAAAAAGACGGCTCCTTTCGTGCGTTGGCATTGCTGAGCCGTCCACCAGACAGAGAAGCCAAGAGCCCATTTCAGGCCGTCGAACCGCAGCCTTTGTACTTATCGTGGCTTTCCTGTTCCCTGGAAAGACCAACCAAGAACCATAGGTGTCCGTTTAGGGTACATAGATGGCGCTGGTAGATGATTTAACCACAAGGTAAACCAAGGCCATCTATGTTTCTACCAAAACAACTAAAAAAGACACCTATGCTCAGAAGGGTACCAAACACGAGCCACCCTGTCGGCTGATGTTTGTTGAGAAGGTGGGCTGTTTGATCTTCAACTGCACCCCAATTCAAAAAATGCAAGGGGATTGATTCACATAAAGCTTTTGGGAAGGAAACCACAGACCCTTTCTCCAGGAAAAGTGCCTAGAACCTTCGTAGCTTCGTAGAAGGGGCTCCGATCGAAGGGTTCCTTTCAAACATCTCATAGGGCTGCCCTAAAACGAGCTCTCTCCTCAACTTGTGTTCCTGAACAGGGCTCCCAAACCCAGCTTCGCAAGGAGGTCCTCGAAATCAGCTGATGTTTGGGCGAACTCTTCACTGGCCAAAGCGAACCCTTTCAGGGACCAGGATTCCTTGGGGGGGGGGGGAGGGGGAGGGGCGAGAGTTCCATGCACTCCCACCCCCTCTCTGGCAAAATATTCATTTTAGGCTCTGAAACAAAAGGCAATCACTTTTTGGTGCCATGACGAAACGATGGTTGTCACAACGAGGAAAAGTGCGTCATGCTGACCCCAGAGTCATGTTGACCCTCGGTTGACGCATGGGGAAGATCCCCTAGTAAGTGGGGGCTGATCACTTTTGGAGGGAACTGTCTGTCTCTAGGGGTACCTCCCAACCATTCTTTCCACTAGGCTGGAAGTAGAACCCCAGCAAAAATATATTGTTTTGCCTGGGTAGTGGAAAACAAAGCCCAAAAAAGCCAAAAAAAAGAGAGCTAATTCTGGGGAAGTCCAGGGATCCTTCTTTCTAGAAAACCTCCACAAACCCAAGGAAAACGGATCCGGTGTTCGAAAAGAACGACAGTTGCAAAGAATGGGGGGAAAATAAACATATTTCCAGTAGTGATAGAGTCCCTTTAAAACCAACTGGGGAAAATTAAAAACATATTCTCAAGCAAATGGAAGTAGCCCTAACCGGACGGATGTTTTTCCTCCAGGGTCCACATTTCGGGCTCACGGCCGCTCCGAGGGCTCCTCTGTGATGACCGTGCCGTCGCCCAAGGACCGCGGCTTCTCCAGCTTCTTCCTACAAAGCTGGGGTGCGGCAGATCGCCCAGCAAAAAGTTTAACTTGTTGCTGGTAAAAAGGAAATATGAGGGGATCCAAAAAGCTAAAGTCTGAAGATCCTACCCAACAGCAGTCTAAAGATCCTACCCAACAGCCGTGCTTTTGTCTTTTTTTAGGGCAGACCCGGGTTCGGGAAACCGCGCGGCTCGGCTTTGAAGGGGCAACGAAAACAAAAGGAGGTGGTTGTTCTTACTTGTTGGTTCGACAGGCAGGGAATGACCCTGAAAGACCCCATTCTTTATGACTTCCTTTCAGGGAATCCCCTTCCGGTTCATTCCCAACAACCTGGGTCATTCCCGATTGAGCAGCAGCAAGACAAACAGGGAGCCTGGCCAACACCGTAGAAAAACCAAGAAAGGGAGACACAACTCAGCTGCGTCAAGTTTATTTCCGCGCTTTGGGTTTCCAGTCACTCCAAAGTAGCCGCCGGACATATAAATCACACTCTACCGGAGCGTGTGCACCACCAAACTGATGGCCAGTGGCCGCTTAAAATAAGATACGTTTTGCTTTGCCTAGTGGGACAACTCAGTAGCAGCCAAGAGCCCATTTCCCAATTGGCTGTGGCTCAAGGATTGGGGCCCAAAATGGCGCAATGGAGAAGCAAACTAAAACTATGGGGTCCACGTCCTGGATGAATTCTTGACACATCCGCTCGAGCCTCGCCATCACTTGATGCAGGACCTCAGCCAACTTGTCCTGCGGCGCGACCTTTTTTTCCCCGTGCTTTGTTGGTTGCTTTTTCGGACGTCAACTGGCTTGAATCGGGGCTGTGGACAAGTTTTAAAAGCGACATGCCCCGCTGCTCGCTTCCCCTTAAGACCAAACGCAAGCCGGACCCTCAAACTACCCATGAAGCAAGGAGGAACTTGTGTGCAAGAACCAGATTTTAAGGTCACCTTTTGAGGGTCCAGGTATGTATTCCTTTTTGGGGTCGTTGATCGGCAAGGACCCATGGTGGCTTTCTCAGGCTCGACAAGTTGGCATGAGGCAAGCTGGCCGTGCATTAAAATCCAAACACTCGCAAACAGATGGAAGCTAGGTGGTTGGTTCAATAGAGAACAGGAAACCAAGAGGTGCCAGCGGTGCCAGACGCCGGTTCGGCACACTCCTGCGAGCTGCCCTGGCAGATGTCTTTCTGGTACCTGAGCTCACCCAAGGCGAACCGGAAAAAGATGTCAGGCCATCCGAATCTGATACATGTACCGTTCAAGTGCCAGGCATTCTAGCACAAGTCATCTGTATATACACACATATATATATATATAATATGTACTGATTTGTTTATATGTGTCCCTTCCAGCGTTGATCATTCGACCGGTGGAAGCCCTGCGAATCTGCCACCTTTGGAGGTCCAAATCAGGTGACATCCTCAAGGCTTCCCGCGAAACGGGGTTCCGTGCTAACCTGCGTGACCATTCCCTCCAGCAATAAACCCCGACTAGATTTATTCAACCAGGGGCTCTGCTTCATCCCTGGTTCGCGGTTTTGAAGGGAAACAAGCCACCCTCCCAAAAAAACGACTAGATTTATTCATCAACCAGGGGTTCTGGGAAACAAGCCGCAACCCCCCCAAAAAAAACGGAAGATTCTCGAGCGCCTTCCCTGCAGTCTTCTTGGGGGTCCAAGAAAAGGTGACCCTAGCCCTGGACGCCCTGGAAATCCCTCCATCCAACAGACCGGCCTGTACAGCAAGTTCACCATCTCCAGGAGATCCTCCGGCGCTTCACGTCAGCTTCGATTCGGGGGAGTCTCCGTTTTTGCGTCGACCCGGCTGGAGCTTTGATGGAAAAATAGAACACCCCTAAGGCTCATGACCCCTCCAATGCAGGGCCCCGGGCCCTCCAATGAAGAACCCGGACCCCTCAGGGGCCCTTGAAAACAACCCACTTTGGCCCAAAAAGCATCGGGAGCCTTAAATGCATAGGGATGTGGCTGAATTTGAGCTGGGCGGCCCTCAGATCCCCTGCTAAAAGTGACTAACTTGTAATTGGTGGGTTAAATGGAAACTACCACAAAACACGAAAAGGCTAAAAAGCTAAGGGGATGGCTGGGAGCCACCAAGTGAGAAACAGACCGCAGGTGTTAGTTTACCTCTCCATTTGCCAGGGTTCCATTTCGGGCCCCTATTTTTGTTGGGCCAACCTCAAGCCTGCATACTCAAAAGACCAGTTTCCCACTTCCTGAGTGGCCAAAAAGCCGCAAACAACCTGTCACGGCCACTAAAATGGCAACGGTGTCAACCAAAAGGACCGCTACCTTATTTGTTGGGGATCCCGGGAAAAAAAAGACACTCCCATTTCAGTCTGAACCGAAACTCGAGGAGTCAGCTTCCAGATCCGCCCCTTGAAGCCTCGAGAGCCTCGAGCGCCTCGAGCGCCTTGAGGGCCCGGCAGCGGTGGCCATGCTCACCACGGTCTTGTCCAAGGTGAAGTGGGACTCAGAGGCCATGGAGGTGACATACCAGGTTACCACTGAAATATGAAGGCGTAATTTTAGGGGTACCCTCTTTCCAACAATCATGGAAGTGCACAAAGGGGTTCCCCAAAAGGAAAATAGTCTTCCAAAGCCCTCCTGTCAACTTCCATGATTGTTGGAGGGAGGGTAGCTTCCAACCAATCAGCATTCCAGATCATTCCAGGCTTCCTTTTTGTTTCGTGCATGTGGATGGACGCGAAATCCGCAAATCTCGCACCACTGTGACACCATGGGAAGCCAGAATTTCTTGGTATTTTATGAGGAATTATCGGAGAAACCAGGGTTTCTCAGGTGGTGCAAGATTTCGTCCATCCACAGTACCACTGAAATATGAAGGGCTGATATACAAACATGGCCGTGGCTCACGAAAAAAGTACTAAACTGGTATCCTTTGTATCTGGAACCAACGACTAAGACCTGCGTAACCCTACTCTTTAATTTTTAGCCACGTACCTCACAAACCTTTTTCCGTCTTCCAGTCACTGTATACTACTCAGTCACAATATGTCTCACTGTTTCGCACTTCTCCCCATGAAGCAAACAACATGGATATAAATTGATATAAACTTCCCACAGCAAACAGCAAACAAGCATTCGCATCATTCTGGGTGAGTAACAATATTTCACCAACCTGCAATAAGGTGGTTGGGGGGCTATTCTCGACATAAACCACCATTTGGGGTGAGGTCGTGTGAGGTCGTTATGATTCACCCAGATCATTCAACGTTTGAAGGGGAACGCCCTGCTTAACTCACATCTGGCTGCTTGGAGCCAACCAAAAGCCCAGCGGGGCCACTGAACACCAACCGGGCAACTTCGGTGGGGGGTAAGCTCATTTTGACAACTTCAAAGCTGTACAAAATGCACACAGGCCGTGAAGCCTGCCATGCCAAGTTGTTGCGCGCTTTGATCACTTGCCCAAAGCCGACCTTTCAACCTTTTGGCTTTCAATCATGAAACCCCCCAACGTTGGTCAAGCTTGAAGTTTTAGGTCCTTTGAGCAGAGCTGATCCTCTTCATTTCCAGTCAGGGAACCAAACAAAAAAAACTACAAGGTGGCCTCTTCACGGTTCTTGGCCGGGGGATGACATAAAGAAAGGAATTGGTATGGCTTGACCAAAAAAAACTCTGACTCTGGCTGGTGTCTTTCCGGCGCAACCCCTTACTAGAAATGAACAGGACCAAAAGACACCAAACAACTTGCCAAGAAAAGAAGAAAAAAAAACAGGGCCCCGGACCACGTACATGTCCGTGGCCAACTCTGCTGCGATCGGATCTTGGACCTACCATGCGGCATCAGTGAATCCGGGCGGCGATTTGGGCGCGAGCCCTCCGTCCAAGGCGGTTTGGGCACTTCTGAACTTGGACCCTGACGGGTCCTGGAACATGCTCCTTCTAAACCTGTCAGGTTCCATGTTGATTGGTGGAAGGGGAGGAGGTAGCAAGTAGGTTATAACTGGGGTTGTGACATACATGGCTTGAACATCCGAGTTGATAAGCGGCAACTAAAGGGAAGCCGGTCCAGAGGTACAAGCGGCTCCGCGGTGAAAGCTTGGAAACGCTCAAAAGTCTAAAGTGGAGCCAACATCTATCAAAGGAAAACCTCCCATAGGTAATTATCCTTTTTGGAAAATAGATGGCCCTGGTAAATGGAATGAAACCAATCTAAACCAGTGCCATCTATTTCCAATCAAGCAAACCTAAAAAGGACGCTACCGAAACCTCCGCCCTCCCTCAGACACGAATCCGAAGTCGCAGCCGAACGCTCCAATGTTTCCCAGAGGTTCGCTGGCGCTTTCGGCCGTGCACATTTTTCGGGGGAAACGCTGGGGGAACGGCGCCAAGCCTCGCTTGGGCAAGCTCCCCTTGTCAGTGAGGGGCTTTTCCGCTTCGTAGCCTCTTGCGGCGCAGCAGTGGGAGCCCGACCACCTCCTGAGATGGCTTGCCAAGAAATCCTCCCTACCTTCAGAAGGGGGGGGGTCCATACAAGGGAAAGTGGAACCACAAATGGAATTCCAGGGGCCACCCGGCCACCCCCCTCCCAATTCCATTTTTAAGGGGGTGGGGATGCCAAGAAGCAGGCCAAAGGCTCATCATATGTGATTTCCCCTTGGCTTCCTTGCAACACGGCTTCCTATTTCAAAGCTGCCCTGAAAAAGATGCAAGGCAGGAAGGGCCTTCTTGCTTGCAGTGCTTGCTTACATTGGAGTTGGACCCCAAAGTCGGGATTTGGACCCTGCTGGCTTTCCTTTTCGCTTTTTGTTCGAACCAGAAGTGGGTACCTGAACCCTCAAACTACCCAACCCACCCCACAATCTTCAGGCATATAAGGGTTCAGGCATCCTCAAGCCAAGACTAAGACATCCCTATGGATCCAGGAAAACCAAAAAATGCACTTTCTCCGGCCCGACACGGACCCATCTGCTGGCCCAGCTTCGTAGAGCCCCTCATCTTCCTGCAGCCCCAGCAGTTGCATCCGCCGGAGCTCCTGTTGGCATAGCCGCCGAAAAAGCAGCACGCCGAAAATCCGTCCCCAAAATGGGGGCTCTTCTCACCGCCAGGCAGATTGATGCAAATGAGAGAACTGATTGCCCGGGTGCCGTTGCAAAGCCATGAAGGCGGCAGCCAGCGCCAAGGACGCCCGTTTCAACCCAAAGAATTTCCCGTCCTGACAATGGGCTCACTTCCCGACTGGCCCAAACAAACTCAAACTTTCAAGGCCACCCAAAGGGCAACCACATCCAAACAGTGACTCGAAAAAAATGTGGGTGTGGCTCAAAATTTAAGAGCTAGGGTTGCGCAGGTTTTGGTCTTGGGTTCCATTTACCAAGGGGCCCTTTTAGTACATATTTTTGAGCCACAGCCATGTCACTTCGAGTTGCGCAACTCAGGGAGTGGCCGGGTTCTTCTTTCTTTTCTTTGTTTTGCTTCGGCCCATCTGCGCTGTGCTTTGCATGTTTTTTCCCCCATGTTTTGTGTTGTTGTTTCGGTGTTGTTTGTTCTTTTATGGTTTTGGTCTTTCTCATGTCTTGGTCTGTCCCCGGCTTCGGCTCGATCCCAGTGCTGGCGCCATGGCGCCTGCAGCCGGGGCGAGCAGCGCCTGCGGCCCTGGGCCAGGCCCAGGAGGCAGCAGCCGTCGATGAAGACCTGGCCGAGTCGCAGAGGCGAGGCGAGGGAGACGTGGACCTTGGGGGGTCAAGGCAGGCCACCGTTAGAACAAGTTTTTATTTATTTTATTTTATATATATATATAACCATTTAGCCAAGCAGTGTTTCATCAGGGTGGGGAGGAGGGGTGATAAAAACCATGATTGACCCAAGGAGTGTGGTTTATCATCCTTTCGAATCTCTCTCTCTCTCTCTCTGCCGTTGCGGCCAGAGGATCACCATCCCCTAGCCCAAGACCTCATTATTTGAGGGTCTGGGGGGTTCAAGGCCCTTGAGCTCCTGGGGATGAAAACCGCGGGGGCGAATGAAACAATGATTCATCCAAGGATGTTGCTCATCCAAATTGGGTCAACCATTTGTTTTATGAGGGTTGATCCTCAGACTCACCCGCAAACCACGAGGTGGCTTCACAAACACCTGACAAGAACACGCAGCCTTACCCAGACTAGCGCAAGAATCCAGGCACTGGGGTGAGTGGTTTTCTGTGATTTGCGGCTCCCTGGCCCGGGAGCTGGACGTGGGCCCGGTCGCCTTTTACCTTGAAAAGTGGTGACCCAAACTGGGAAAGCACCAGCTTTCAGGTCGATTTGCTTCGGGCGCTCGTGAGAAGGCCAAAGCCTGAGGTGGCAAAATGATCTCAGCCTCTCCGCGCGAAAAAAAAATGCGACTCGTTGAGCAAGAGGGTCCCCACGACTTAGTTGCCCAATTGGGACCTGGAAAAAAAAGGTGATCGCCTGAAAGGGACGTTCACTAAAAAGCAGACCAAAAAAAAAGAAAAAACAACAAGGAACCATATCGTGTTTGGTCGATTCGCTTTGGACCATTGCTCACTCGTGTGCTTCAGTCAGAGCTGGGAGTGCGATGGCATACCCTGCCTTGGTGGGATTGTACTGGTCCCAAGCATCCAGTTCCTAAAGCGGAGGGTGTTGTGAAAACCCTCACCTCGGGCCCTCAAACTACCCACAGAAAAACCGGAAATCACCCAAGACATTTTGATCCTCACCTGTGCCCTTAAACGCTACCCACATAAAAGGGACATCACCCAAGACCTTTGGTGGGGGCCCAGGGAGCTACAAACAGTTCCCCACGCTCAGCGGTTTTATAATAGCAGGAAGGCCTGGAGTATGAGTTGATTGGACAATTTCTTCGGCAGAGGGGGGCACCTGTGAACGATCTCCGGCTGAGGGGCCCTCAACAGGTCGGCCCACCAGACCAGTTGGGCCCAGCAAAAACAAATGCGTCGTTCACCCCTTCGTCAAGGTTCGTGGTCATACCATCCTTGCTTGGGCTGTCCTCGGATCCCTGCTAAGAGTGAAACGTTTTATTTAGTTGAATGGAAACCCAAGCACCAAAGCAACTAAAGACCTAAGTCTTTGAGGAACCGAATGGCGGGGAGCCACCCAGTTTTGCTTCCACTCCCCACCCCGAACGAGATGCTTTTTGCACATTCCACCTTTCCACCTTGAGGTTCTGTAATCTAAGTCCTCATTTTCTATTCTAGTCCCAGGAGCTGAAAGCACTCTGGGTGTCTGTGCAACCAGGTAGGCTCTGGGCTCTGGGGTGGTTTGGGGCAGCTGTCAGGGAGGGTTCTGGAGGTTCAAGCGGGTTCTCTCTCTCTCTCTCCCTCTGCTGTTGCGTCAAGAGGGTCTTGACTCAGGGCAACGAAAAAGGTGCCCACTGATATTCAGGGGCACCAACAACATACTAGGACAACCAGGGCAGACATCAAGAAGGGGGGTTGTGTTCCTTCTCTTTTTTTCATTTTTTTTTGTTTGGGGGGGGGGGCGGTTTTCAATGGGACCCTTAGCACCTGACCAGCCCCAAGCACCGACTACTTCTTTCCGAAGCTCCGCGGCGGCGTAGTCCCAGGGGAAGAGATGATGATAGTCGTGCCAGCCCTCGTCTTGGGAAAGGGGCCAACATAAAGTATCCCCCCCAAAACTGGGCCGCCCGATTTCAGATCCACTAAACACTCAAAAGCTAAAAGGCGAAGGAACCGGATGGCTGGGAGCCACCAAGTACCTTAAAAAAAATGTGTTGCATTCCCTAATTGAAGAGGACCCAAACAGGAGAACAATCGAAGGGAAAAAAACGCAACCAAAAAAGGAACAATTGTTGCAAGAGGACCCAGCAAGTGTTCCAAGAAGGGAACCAAAAACAGAGAAAAGTGAAGAGGGTTTCTACCTAACCACTACTTACCCTCAAGGTCGTACGGGGTAGCCATTATGTAACTACTGTATGAGATCGTCATAGATCGGTTGTACCCTCCCACCCACCAACATGGAGCCTGACTTTTCAAAGGCTCCTTGTTTAGACTATGCTCCTGTAAAGGAACAACTTCTCTCGGTTCCGTGTGGACAGAAGGCAGTTGCTTTTCAATGGGCCGGACCTGGTGCTAAGAGGACCTTGCGCTGGAGGTTTGACGCCAACCTTTTCGACTTTGACGCCGAGGAGGTTGAGACACATTCTGCCCAGCCCCGCGAAAAAAATCTCACCGGCGTTTCCCCTTGGGTCCCTACACCAACCAAAAGGAAACAGAGCCGCAGTTGATCCAAAAGTGAGGTTTAAGCCGGTTTAAGGATGGCCATGGCTCAATGGAGCATGGTAAGCCTTCGAAATTCCGCACTTTGGGCTTCCTTCTGGAGCAATAGAAGTTAGGGTCTGTGTAGCAGGCAATCAATGTCCATGCAGGCATGGCTTTGTTTTTTGAGGGTACCCCTTTTCATGTTGCTTTAAAGGGAAAACGAAAGGACAACTGCAAATTGTGTGGTCCGTCCTATGTTGAGAGACACACATCTGGGCAACTGGCTATAGTTCACAAGCCGGACCAGAAGGAATCCCTTGAGATAGCGACCTCCGCAATGATTGGTGAATGACATAAAACCAATCTAAACCAGTGGAACCCATCTATTTCTGATGGAACTGACCGATCAAAAGGACACCCGATCGTTGAACTCGGCATTTAAAAACGTGCACCAACACAAATGGCAACAGGTGTAGGTGTCAAATTTGGCCATTTACTTCATGTACTCAAGGGCTTCACGCTATAAAGACCAAACTTTGAAAATAGCTTGCTACCTACTATAAGGGCAACAGGGATCCATTGGAAACACTGTTTACCTCTCCATCTCCTCCACGCCCTTGTGGTTTCCTTAGTGAAACCAACAAAAAATCCATGTGAAACATCCAAGCAAAACGGGGCACACCCGAAAAGCCTCCGCTTTCCTCAAAACCATCATCCCCGCCTCCCCCAACGCCAGGAGCGACACCAACAGGCTGACCCGGGGCCCGACGCCCACCGCCGGCTCAAAGGCGTAGGCGTCGTCTTCGTCCCGGTCCCCGTGGGCGATGGAGTTCACCGCAAAGGTGATGTGCTGCACCTGGCTGGCTTTGGCCAGGTTGCGGGAAGAGGGGGGCAGGGGGGGGAGGGGGGGAAGGGGAGAAGGGGGGGATGTTTGCCTTGAGTGGCTTTAAAGATAACCCTTTGGTTGCCCTGTTTGAAGTGACTTTCTTTTGGTGAAGTAGGGGGAATATTGGACGCGGCTGAACAAGTCCTGTAAATCGAACACAGTCAATTCCAACCGCTTGCCCGACCCCTGTACTCAAAACTCGGTATTGACATGGTGTACCCAAAAACCATGCAAATACGCAAAAGGCCTTCCTGACCAAAATAATCTTTCGAGAGAAGGATGGCTTGGGATGCTTACGTAAAAAAAGCCCTGATCATTACTTGCGGGGTGCCACCCAAGAGCAAGCAACAAAGAGACACACCTTAGAGGCATTCGCTTGGGTTTGATTTCGGGGCGGGGGGTCTACAAGACAAACCCAATTTATTTTTGATACCGACCTCATTTGACTTCAAAAGGAACTGGGTTCCTTTACTCCAACCTCGCTGGTCCAAAGGACCTGGACAAAAGGTCTGACCTGGAAGATGGACCAAATCTGGACCAAGCTGCAGAAAGGCTCGCTGCGCTTTGGGCGCTCCGGACAGTTCAGACCCAGTTCCTTAAACAGGCTTTGATTTTGTGGGTTCGTCAAAATTCCCCCCCCATTCCCGCTACAACCTTCCCCAATTTCCCCATGTGGTTTGCCCTTTGTGGTTTGGAGTTCCAGGGTGGTTTCTGCAAGAAAGTCTTCACATCCACGGGCCCAAACCAACCCAAACCCAAACCACCGCGATTTCAGGGAGGTGTCTGGGTTTCAACCGACGCCTCCGCCGATTTTTCGGAGCCGGTCACATCCGGTCACCTCCATTTTGGTTGAACCTGTGGTGCTTCAAGCAGTCGAACTTTTTTGGGAGCCAATGGATCTGTTAAACACCCCTCGTAAAAGAAGGTAACCCATCTGTAACCCATCGTAAAGATCAAACATTTAATCCAAAATGAGACCGTGTTGAAGGTAAAATTCCTTAGGTTTCCGTAGGGAAAAGCCAGAGTTGAGACCAATTTGGGGCTCCTCAGCACTTCGGGTTTCTTGGGGGCACCTCTTCCCCGGGAAGTCCATCCTAAAATGCCCCGTCCGACCCTTTCCTGGAGGTTTACCAGAAAAAAAGAGGTAACGATCCACACAAAAGAAGAACCAACATCCAAAAAAAAAGAGGACAAACAACCAAATCCAAAACAACTCGGTCAAAACACCGCAAAAAAAAGCGAGAAAAACAACATAACACCAACTCCTAAAGGACCCAACCGCCCCCCCAAAAAGAAGAAAGAAAGAAAGAAAGAAAGAAAGAAAGAAAGAAAGAAAGAAAGAAAGAATCAAAGAAAGAAAGAACGGGAGTTCTCCGAGGCGCAACGGCCCAGCGCAGAGCCCCCGCCACGAAGAGCCCCGTCCAAGGGTCGCCCCAGCAGGCCGCCACCAGCGAGGGCACGCCCAGGGACCACAGCGGGTCCCACCAGGCGCCTGGGAGGACCCCAGCCCCCGGGCGCTTTTGCTGGGCTTGTGGGCGCGTGTGGGAGAAAAACCGGAGATTTGGGACAGGTTTTTTGGGGACTTTGGTGTGGAAAAAACTTGTTTTTTGGGGACTTTGGTGGGGAACAACCGCCTTCGACTGGTTTGAGTGGCTTCCGTGGGGTAAAAGTCAGTTTTTTGGGGGACCCGACTGGTATTGAGCGGCTTGAGTGGAGGCAAGATGAAGAAACAAACAGTTTTTCTGTGGAGTTTGGCGGGGAAAATGAGTTTTTGGGACGTCTGGGGGTTTTAGTGAAGGGAACAAAAGTTGTTGGGATTTTTGGGTGGTTTCGGACAAAAAAGAGCTTTTTGTTGTGTTGTGTGTCCAACTGTCTGACTTTTCACGTTTTAGTTGGGAAGTCAAGTGGTGCGTTCGTGGGGAAAAGATTGTTTTTTGGTGCTTAGTGGACAAAAGGTGTTTAGTGAGATTTAATGTGTTTGGTTTAACAACGGTTTAGTGTGGAATCAGTTTTTGTCTTTGTTTTGGTGGTTAGTGTGTGAAAAGTTTGAGTCTCTGGTATTTAGTGGGAAGCAAGTGTCACGTTGTTTGTGCTCAGTGTGTGCAAAAGTTTGATTTTCTGGTGCCTGTTGGTGAACATCATCGTTTTCCAAGCTCAGTTTTCCAGTTTGGCCCAGAAGTACAAGCGGATCACCATTTGGAGCAAACAACTCAAAAAGGACCAACTTGGTCAGCTTCAGCCAAGGCGCAGTGCCGGTCATGGAACTTGACCGGGGGCCCTATGCCCCGCAAAACCCGGTGGTACTCGGAAGAAGACAGGCGGAACTTCCTCACAAAGCTGGGAGAGTGGCTTTGGAGGAGTCGGATGCTGAACAAATAGCCCATCTAAGCTTGCAAGGCACCCCCCAATATAACAAGTGGCCTCAACACTTCCGAAACACAACCCCTGCAAGCTTGCAATAGGACCGCCCTGCTTGCTTTGAGGGGGCCCCTTTGATTTTAATCCATTTAAGGGGTCGACCAGTCGAGAAAAAAGGTGACGCTCAAGGACTGTCAGAATTCGCTGGGGATTCATGACCACCAACACTGAGGTGGTAACTCTCAAAAAATATAGGTTTGGGTTCTTTTGTCATGGTTTGGAGGTTGGGGGCTGTTTCCCATTTACCACCCTCTACAAGAAGGAAAGCTCGACACGGCCTGGCAAAACGAACCAACAATAGTTTCATGGTTGCCTTCCTGGAAAACGACACACCCAATTCTCACTTCCTGAGTGGATTGACCTAACAATCTCCAAACTGTTCATTTGCCACTAAAATGGCAACCAAACCCCCAAAAAGTGTCTAAAGTCAGAAGTCCATTGACTCAGGAAGCGTTGAAAAATATCGATTCGGCCCCCTGGGGCTGACTTTCACGCAAAAAAAGAAAAGAAAAGAAAAACAAGTCAAGAAGTGATACTTGGAACAGCCCAGCACAGTACTCCGGGAGTGAGTGGGTGGTTTTTTTCTTCAGGGGTCACCGGACTTCCCCAAAACAAAAGTTGATCAACTGGCTGGTTTCCATTGACACGCTCGGTTTTCACTTCCACTTTTGGGAGGTTTCAAACCGAGAACGGGACAGGGCCATGTAAAGGTCCGCGGAAAAGGAACCCCCCCCTCAAAAAAAGAAGAAAACCAAAACGGGTGCAACTTCCTTCCAGTCGGTCCAGCCAGTCCTGGGGGAGAAGAGCCAGGTGAAGTGGGCGTGCCAGAAGCCCTGGGCCCGGTTGTGGGGATCCCAGATGGTGTCGCTGGCCGCGTGGTGCATGGCATGGGTCAGGGCCCAGCCCTGGATGGGGCCCTGGTCCGCCACGGAGAACATGAGCCTCGAACCGCCGAAAACTCCAACTTCCTTTTTGTTCTTTGCCATGATCAAAGTCACCGGAGTGGTGGGTGAAAGGGAAACGACCCACCAGCTTCTAACTTTGATAACCCCCAGAAACCGTCAAAACAAGCCACGAAGATTCAGGAGAGTGCCCCGTGTCTTGGTGAAGGGGGTTCGTTTGTTTTGCGAGGGAACCGCTTTTGATGGGGGTTGTTCAAGGCGGTCCCTTTTCTGTTTAGTTTAATTGGTACCCCGCTTTTCGGGTGGAGGGGAACGAAAGGAAAACCACCCATTTTTAGGAATCCCTATTTTTGAGACAACCCCAGAAATGGACCTGTCGCAAGCCACTAAATCACTCGTGTCCGTTATGGGGATTCCGTGTTTTGTGAGGCAACCGCTTTTCGGGGTCCCTATGCCGTTTTTGGGTGGTGAAAGAAAAAGGAACAAAAGGAAAACCACCAAATTTTAGGGTCCCCCAATGTTGAGACAACCTTAAAAAGGCTTCTCTGTTTTGTTCACTTGCCCAACGGACCTGGAAATTACAGTGGTGATCAGAGGAATAGGAACCTAAAGGCGAATATTGCCAAAACAGGGAAACCAGATCCGGTTAGATCCGGTTAGATCCGGTCGATTCGCTCTGGGCGCTCGTGAGCTGTTGCGCGTCAAAATAGGTGACCGCCCCCCAAACATGGCCTTTCCCCTCGAACAGCAACAAAAGGCGCACCCGTTAGAAAGTGAGAAGTCGCGGCTTGGAGATCCTTTCCCAAAGTTGGGCGTGGCACGAACACTTGATTCTTGCAGCCCACGAAAAAAAGCGCCACCTTGGCAGCTCTGCCTTGGGTCTTGCCATTTGATGCCCGCAAGGTAAGGGGAGATTCTTTCGAAATGGAGCATCCTTGGCTTTCCAACCCTTGGTATGTTAGCAACATGTCGCAAACCACTGTGCTTTTTGCAGCCGCCCCCCCCCCCCAAAAAAAAATGAACAGAGCCAAAAAAGAACAACTAAAACCTGCCAACAACAGAGGCTAACTTGGTTGTTTCATTGATCCAATTTGCAAAGTGATCCACTTTGACTGGGCCTGACAAATCCGACTCGTGCTGCCTCGGTGTTTCGCTGAGATGGTGAACGCGCACGTCAACTTTGGGAGCCCCAAAACATGATCGATCGCTCTCCGCTAAACCAACCCGAACCCCTTGGTGGTGCATTGATCCCTTGGGAGCCCCGCAGCTATCTAGAATCCATCCTGGGCTCTATCACGGGGACTATGGGAACCCGATCAAACCGAGAAGCATCAGCAGCGTCTCGAGGGTGGAAGAGGCCTAGCGAGTTCCGCTGGCTTCAACCGGTTTAACCGGGTCACCCCTCCAAATCTGGTCCAACACCACCGGAGTGGAAAACCTTAAGAAGGCTTTTCAAAATGCTGGACTCCTTCTTTTGGATCGAAGCAGACAAAGGAAACCGTTGCCTTTCTTTCGGATTTCGTTCCTTCTTTCTTGGTTTGCTGGGGGGATTGCCCAATTTTGCCCGTGGCGTCCCTTTAAAACAAACCCAACAAATCCTCGACAAATCCAAATGCCCAATCCAAACCACCCGCGTAACTTTTTAGGGGTGTTTTAAAATGGAAACCAAAAAGAACAACCACCCATTCCTGGGGGGGGATCCATTTCCTATTTTAAAACACCCCTCCCAATTTCCCTTGGTTTCCCTGCAGCCCTCACCAACTTTCCACTTGGCTCCCTTCGCTTTTCACAAAAATCTGCCACGTTCCCACCCAAAAGTTAAAGTCTAAAGACTATCCGTTAAGACCGGTTGCCCCTTCCTCCCCCCAACAAAAAGCAAACGCAACGCAACAAAACGCACTAACCAACACGAGCATCCCAACAAAAGCAAAACAAACGCACCAAAAAAAACACGGGTTTTTCCAGGCAAGACCACACACCTCGGAAAAAGCGCCGAGAAAAAAAACAAAAAAACAAAAAAAAACGACCGCGCGGACGGACGCGGGCGCATGAGACCTCCGCGCCTTGTAGGACTGATGCGTCCAGAGGCGGTGGGCCCCAGCGGTGACCCCCAGGCCGCTGACGGGCCACAGCAGCAGCGCCAGCAGCGCCGTGCGGCCGGGCACCTCTCCCTTGAGACAAAGCCTGCGGCCGGCGTTTTTTGGGGGATCGAGGTAGGGTTGTTGTTCTTTTTTGGGTTGGTGCACCCGTTTCCGGTTGGCCTAAAAAGGAATTGAGGTCGTTTTTTTGGAGGTGGTACACCAGTTTTGTGGTTGTTTAAACAGGAAGTAGAGGGAACAACCAGCATGTTATTCATTTATTTGTTTGCTATGTGTATACATATATATATATATACGTACTATGGGCAGGGGGCAGGATGGGGGGGGGCAGTGTGTTTAAACGGAAATAAAAGGAACACACATCATGGATTTTGGCTGTTTGGCTGGTTCACATGGGGGAAAGAAATACCATCATTGGGGGATGCAACTGCTCAACCCTAGGAACAAAGAAAGGGGAAAGCTTGGGGAGTTGTTTTGCAGGGATGGATTCGGTTGGGATGGCTCGGTAGGTAAACCTGGACAAACAAAGCTTAGCTTTCTGCAGTGTGGGGGAAATCATCAGCTCCCAAAAAGTGAGAGGCTGGAGGCGAGTTCCTGATGGAATAAGTTGCTATGTGGTGGGTTCCTATGCCTTGTTGGAGATCCAAAACATCCATTTGCCCTTTTTGCCCCTGGAAAAACGGGACATAGTTTCGGTAGTGAAACCGATTCCCTCGAAAATCCAACAGGGGTAATACAAGCATATTGTTGAGCATATGGAAGCCTCTTAGGGGTGCATTTAGGTTGTAATTTCCCACCACACCACAAACGAAGGAGGGGGTCTCCCCCTCAAAAAAAGAGAGAGACACCTAACATAGGTGTCCCGTTGGTAGAAGAGAAGGCCCTGGTAAATGGAAGAACACCAATATAATACTAGTGCTATCTATGCATAACCAAACTAACCCAAAAAGGACACCTATGGGCCTAGGGTCTTGGAACCAAGGACACCCAAAATGGATTCGGTGTTCTTGGTGGCTTCTGCTCCCACCCGAAGAAAAGGTCTCACTCAATTCAACTACGGGTTTGCTGAAGAAAGTGGGTAATTATTGCGGCACCCCTGCCTTAAGCCGTACAGCGCCAACAAGTGGCGCAGCGGTATGCCGACTGCCTGCAGCAAGATCCCAGATGACCACAGCTGGCTGAGACGCTTGCCTTAATCCAGGGGCACGGTGACAACAACAACAACAAAAATTGTGCCAAACATGAAAAATGGAGAAAACCACACAAAAAAAAAAAAAAAAAACGGAAAACATGCTGCCAAGAACAGCGGTTCAGTTGCCCTGGCCCTGCCAAAAGCCCGGATTGGCTTTCAGTTTGGACAGTGACCCGGTAATTGTCGCGCTCGGCAAAGGCCGGCGGGCACACTCCTCGGCAACGCTGCCGTCCTGGAAATCTGCGCCCTGAAAGCCATCCATTGCTCGTGCCCCGGACCGAATCAACTTTTGTATTTTGGATACTGAACACTTCGCTTCATGCAGTTTATTGTTCTTTCCCAATGTTTTTGCTCAAAACGACGGGGCAAGGAGCACTGCGGAGCGAGAGAACTGAGCCTCTTCCAAGAACTGCTCTCCAAGGCTTGCCAAAGGTTTGCGGCCGTGTGGGGTATCATTTTATGAGGGTACCCTATTGGGGGCTGAAAGGAACACGGAGTAGACCGGGGGTCCCTTTCCTATTTCAACACACGCCCATGTGAGCGAGTGTTTCTTATATCATGGATTTGAGTTGGCTGCTAGTTCAAGTAAAAAACAAAAACAAAAAACCGCCGGAAACCGCTGCCATTTTGAGGGGGTGCACTGCTTCTAGAAAAAGGATCATCCCTCTCTCTCTCTCTCTGTCTCTCTGCGCCATCCCGTAGGATCATATGTGCCTATGTTTAGCGGACCCCCGAAATGGTTGGGTGTTCCTGAAAAAGTGTCCCTGAAAAACGGGAAAAAAGAAAAGAGGGGTACCAACTCAAAAAAAGGCATGCCCCGTACTGAGGACTTCCTAGTGTGGACCAACCTTCCAAACATCTGCGCTGGGAGGCATGTCTTCTTTTGAATGGTTTCCTTTCGGTGTCCTTTTGATTTCCTTTGGTTTCCTTTTGGTTTCCCTTGACTACAAAGACAGGATACCCATTCCACATGACCAAGTTTGATTCTGCCCTCCAGCAACATGGCACCCAGAGAGCTCCTTGGAAAGCAAGTCGATCCCGGCATCTTGTTCTTTGGGGCTTTTCTTGCTGGTGCTCAGTAGGGAATGACTGAACTGGAAGGGGACCCAAGGAACCCAAATCGGGCACAGTTCTTTTTTTTCTCCGGTGTCGTTCCACTCCTCATTCCTTGCCGATCAAAGCAGCAAGCAACTACAAAACCAACCCTCAAGAAACTGAACGGCAGCAAGCCCAAATGAAGGAACCCCCAACCAAAAACTAGATAAAGGGCAGGAACCCCCCTTGCCTCGTCATTCCCGGTGCGGGACCGGAAGGGCTCCAGAAGCCTCGTTGACCCGTTTTCCACCCCCGCCCAGACCGGGGATCCCAACATGGGTGGCTCGTCTTTTTTGGAGGTAGCTCCCCTCCCCCCCAACAATCAAAAGACTCAAACGCGAAAAATAAAATAGGTATATATATATATATATACTTATTTATATATAGATATGTGAGTGTTCAACTTTTGGGATCCCTTGACACCACACCCAAAAGGGGCAACCCTGAGAAAGGACAGAACATGGGCCACCCAAAAGGTCACTGAACTAACCAAATTTGATATCCCTTGCGGGGGGTGCTGGCACAGCTTTCTTTCTAATTCAATCTGCTTTTTCCTCTTTCTTTCTTTTTTGGGGGCGGGGGGTTACCATACTCGCAACTAAAGCAGGTGGACTGCCTACTCAAATTTGAGCCTTTTGGAGATTAGGTTTTGGGCGCGTCTCACTTGGGCTCCGCCCAGTTGTGCAAGATGGACTTCCGCGCTGAGAGCTGCACGCCGTGTGCAGAATGTGACAAGTGAAGTCCTGCCGGATGCGACGCCGGATGGGCGTGCTACTTGTTCTAGGTCCTCCAGAATAAGGGTACCCTTTTTTCTAGGTAGTCTGTTTTAGTAAAATGGGCACTAATTACTGGGGAACCTAGTGTTTCTTGTTTGCGGGGGGGGGGGTGCCAAACAATGGTTGTTCTCGAAGCCTAGACATTTGCGCGCTCGCGGTGAATCGGGAGCGACTTCGTTTCGGAGCTACCCCATTTCCAGGGCTTTGCGGAGCCAATTCAGCGAGGACATGGGCAGGTTGGCAAAGCAACGGGGTCGTTGAGTCGGGGGCCAACGGGCTCTAGTGCCACTGGGCGTCAAACATCTTTGGGCTCGCATTTTGGTTTGATGCATACAAGCTGGCATATATTCTGAAGGTACACTGGGGTTGTTTCGAAAGGGAGTTGAATCCCTTGAGACGGACTCAAAACGGTCACCCTCTGGCATGAGGAGACAGACGCAGGTGTCGCAAAGCATCATTGCCTGCATAAAACGCCGGCCCCGGTGGACTGACGGTGAAGACAGCGGCTCGGCGTTTCGCCCATGCAGATTCCGGCTCTCCTCTTGGTGGCTCCCAGCCATCCGGTTCCTTAGCCTTTTGGCCTTTTGGGTGGTTTAGTGGTTTTGGTTTCCATTCAGCCCACTGAAAGTCAGCCAGGGTACCTGAGGGCCGCCAAGTACTCCTGAGAGGTTGGAACAAACGATGGAACCAAGCAAACCATCAGAGGAATCGCCTTTTGGAGAACCCCCGAGTCGGTTCCAACTCCCCAAAAACCCACAGAGTCTGCGCCGGCTCCTTGATGTCCTCGCACATTTGCCTTGACCTCAGTTCCAATATCAGCCGGAAGTTGGCCCTCGGATAGCTCCCCCTAACAGAGAGGTTTGAGAAGTATACAACCACTAGCCGCGATAGAACGCAGTATTTGAAGGAAATCATCCCATGTGTCCCACCCCCAGAAGTATACAACTACTACATAGTCGCGATAGCACGGATGTACACCGCATTTCTCGGGGCTTTTATGGGAAATCATCACCCCCCCCCCCCACCAAATCATCCCATGCGTCCCACCCCCAGCCGCCCCTCCGCCCCTCTGCCCCCCAACCTAAACCCCTAGTCTTCAAATCCTGGGCGCCGGACTCGGGCTCTTCCTTCATGACTTGCTCCGTCCCACCCTTGCCCTTGTGCTGGAACTGGGCCAGAAACACGTGCTTGTGCACCTCAGGCACTTGCAAAAAAATCAAAAAAGGGGGGGGGGTTTGCGAGGCTCTCAGACCCTCACGATGATGAAGAAATTGGGGGAGGGGGGGGGGGGGGGCGGTCGGAGTTGAAAACATGAGGGGGGCGGTTGCGTCTGATGAAAAAATCGGGGGGGAGAGGGGGTTATGAGGGGGGCGGTTGCGGGCGGGTTCCTTGCTGGCAAAAGAATCGGCCTGCGCACCCGGGAAAAGCAACGCAAACATCCCATGAACCACAATATACACCCCGCCGCAGATCAAAGGGGGGGGTTCCCCCCCAAAAAAATCTTCCACAAATGGTGGTTGCATTGAACTTGCAGGGGGGCATTCATATCCATCATACATACCCAAATACTTGTTAACATCCCATGAACCTCTCAACCTATGGCTGTGTCTTTCTTGGACGTGGTACCCCTTCCTTTTTTGAGTTTTTGTCAGGGAAAGCAAAAGGAAAGCCATTTGCGGTGTTTGCGTTTTGTTTTTTGCTCTTTTTTTGTCTTGGGGTGGGGGCAAAAACATTTTTCTTTGGAGGGGGAAATGGGGTTGCGGGAAAAAAGCAAATGAAGAAAAACAACAGAGGGGAGAAACCGCCCCAAACCAAAACATACGTAGCTCCCCTCGTCTTCATGGCCTCGGGTTTGCTTTTTGCTTCGGGTTTGCTTCGCAGGGCCCCCGGCGGCGCGCTTGAAGAGCTTGGCCAAGGCCTCCGTTTGCAGCGGACGACGCCCATCCCAGCGACGCCCAGCGACGCCGCGCGATTCCAACGCCAATGGGCGGTGCCGAGAGACGGAAAAGGGGGGGGTAAATCCTGGTAATCCATTCAAGGGTCACCACTTCAAGGATCTGGTTGCTTAATCTATTTCCAATCCAAGTAGTTCCGTGTGAGTCCGAGTATATACACTCAGAATTCTCCGCCCCACTAAAACGGGATGGTGGACAATTGGATTTGGCAAAGAAAAAACGATAGAAGGGAAAATGGGTTACCATACACGGAGATGCCTCACTTCCCATCGAGTGGAGTGGCCGTTGACAAAGCAACGAAACTTTGTGGTGCACCACTAAAACGGCAACCAAGCCCAAAATGTCTAAAGTCCATGAACTCAGGAAGTAAGTACCTATACACAGACCTGGGCTGTCCCCTGGGGGGGAAAAACAGTAGTGATAGATTCCCTTTAAGCCAACAGGGGAAAATTTAAAACATATTCTTTACCAAATGGGAGTTTATGTAAGCTTGACAACAAAAGGCCCCCGTTTTGTTGTTGTTTTTTGTTTTTTTCCCCGGAACCTATGGCGAAAACCGCGCCTGGATGTTGAACATGACCCGCTCGAAGATCTGCTCCGCGATGTCCACGGGATCGTAGTCGTTGTCCGTCTTGCCCTTGGCCCTGGCAAAGGACGCACAAATCCGTGGGCTTTGCAACGCTCAAAACTGGACCAAAAAGGGTAATGCCAAACTCGGTTGCTTTCTGCTCCCCTGCTAAATGTTTAACTTTTAGTAGTTTAATGGAAAACCCATTAGTTGGCAAGAAGTTAAAGTCCCAAAACTTTGTTGCTGTTGACCCCTCTGCAAAAAGTGAACCACTTTTGTTTGGTTTAGTGGGGAAACCCCTTCATTTCAACCAGAAAAGTTAAAGTTTAAAGATTCAATTTAATAGCAATCAAGAAAACTGGGCCAACAAGACAAAAAGCCACAGGTAAGGGCGATGGCTCGTTCTCACTTGCCCAGTTTGGACCTAAGAAGTGATCACCTTTTGGGGCAAGTACTGAAAGTGGAGCAACAAGGGAAAGGCCAAACAAGATATAATGTCGGTTTTGAAGAACTGAGAGGGAAAAGGAGAAGAAAAAAAAGGGCTTGCAACCGGGGCGAGCCTGTCTTGCCTTCAAGTTTCATAGTCGCTGAACGAAATCCACAAAATCCAGCAGTTTGTCCGTTTTTCGAGTTTCATCCGTCCCAAATGAAGGTTTTCAGCTTCCCTCTGATTGGTGGTTTGGCGGGTCGATGGTTCGGTGGTTTGGCGGTCAGGGGTGGTTCATTTGCCTTCAATCCACCAATCCAAACAAGGAGTTCCCCAGGCGGTCAGATCTCCAATCTCTGAGACAAAAGCGCGATTTTTGGTCGGGGGATCCCCCCCTTCCGCTTCAAAACATGTTGTGACGCCGTAGCGTCCCCAGGAAGACACTCCCCCCCAATCGCAGCGCCCAAAAACGACGCCGCGCATGGAGTGGGGGGGCCTCTTCATGTGCTTGTCGAAGACTTGCTTGCGGATCTTGAGCACGACGAGGCCTCCACTTGGCCGTGGCACCATCCATAAGGAGCCCACGGGAAGAGCCATCTGGTTCCATCCCTCACCACCAAATGGTCCTTCTGGCAAAATAAATGGGTTTTGGTCAATGGAATCAATCTAAACCAGTGGAACCGATCTATTTCTAACCAAACGAACCTAAAAAGCACACCCATGCAATGGAGTTTTGGCCCGTTTTCACAACCTGGCGGCTTCTTCTCGGGCCTGCCGTTTGGAAACCCCCATCCACGAATCTTGGTTGCTGTTGACCCCTGCAAAAAGTGAACAACTTTTTGGGGGTTTAGTGGAAGCCCCCTTGATTTCTCAAAAAGTTAAAGTCTAAAGTGAAAGATCCAACCCAATAGCAGACAAGGAATCCGCCGTTTTCTTCGAGTCTAAGACTCTGGCTGAAGGCCGGGGTCTGCACGGCTTCCAGGACGCTGGCGAAGATGTTGCCCAACAACTGCGACAGGGTTGCAAGGGTACCCCCAACCTCAAAATACCCACTTTTTTTCAGGGTATTTTTTGGGAAACCGATCGGTTTTCCATGGTAAATACCTCTTTTTTTGGTAAAGGGTCGAAAGGATACCCTGAAAAAAGAGGGTATTTGGAGTAGGGGGTAGGTGTCCAGATGGGGTTGGGATCCAACATGCTTTATTGTTCGCTTTGCGCTCGCTCCAGTCTTGCAGCCAAGGGCAATGATCTTTGGTGGCTTCCCTGATTTTTGATCTTTAGACCGATCCCTGAAAAGGGCCGCCTGAAGGAAACACCCCCCAGGACTCCTATGGAGGATGGCCGGTTGGAGTATGCCTTGCTGGGGAGCTTCGCTCTCGGATTCCACGCTGGGCAAGAATACACGTTTCGAATGGCCGTTCGATTTTCTTATGCATGCTGACAGTCCAGCAAGCACGGTCATCCATGCCCATCTCAAGAACACATGGGTGTGTTCGATGCGGCTTCGTTTTAAGCCCCAAAATAGTACCGTCATAACAAACAACCCCACATCATCTGCAGTACTTGGTGACAGTCCCGACATCTTTGCTAACCACATTCGAAGCCCGGGTTCCGCGGACCCCGCATTGAACGGGAGAAGCCCCAACAATGGCGGGGATGAGGGGGCGCTTGGACAAGCCAAACTGCAATCAACCAACAAACAAGTGCTACCTCCCGACATGGCACCTCAGAGAGGGTCGCTTAAGCCTAGGACCTCGAAAGAAAAGACGCAATGTTGGAAACAAGAGAAATTTACCCAGGTCCTCCAGTAGAGAGGTTAGAATAGGGGTACCTTGTTTTCTGTGTCTGTTTTAGTAGGGGAATCCTCCCCCAAAAAGGGTGAAAGGGCACTACTGGGGGACCTAGACAAATATACCTTCCCACCAACTAACATGAAAGCGCACAGAGCCCCTTGCCAAGAGGAAAGCAGTTTTATACAGGGGTCTGTGCCATGCAATTCCATGTCAGTCGGTGGGAGGGAAACTTAACGCACTTCCGATCGAGAGGATGGGCGCAAGAAGGCAACCAAACTTGTCAAGTCCACTAAACTGGCAACCAAACGCAACAAGTGACTAAGGTCCAAAACAGAACTCAGAGAGACAAACACTACAAACAGCCAGGGAGTTGACTTGACAACCCTTGGTAGCAAAAACCCTTGTTCTTTTGCCCCCACTGCAAGTGAACGAAACCAACAACAACTAAACAACATGTCAACGACGTGAAACTAAAACCTCAAACAAAACATGCCAACGACCAACTAAAACCTCAAAACAAACATGCCCAAAACCAACTGAAACCTCAACACAAACATGGCAACAACGAACCAAACCCAAAACAAACATGCCAACAACAAACTGAAACCTCAAAGCAAACATCTCAAAAAAAAAAACTCAAAACAACCATGCCAACAACAAACTAAAACCTCTGAACCAACACGCCAACCAACAACTAAAACCCAACTAGGTCCTCCATGCCAAACAAACATGCCAAGGGAGGTCGCTCTGCCAGGCATCCTCATTACCAGTTCCCAACCTTCCATTTGCAAAAAATAACGATAATTCCAAGAGTGAAATCCATTCCCATGAAAACCAACAGGGGAGAATAACAAATACTCCTGATCTTATTGGAAGCAAATGGGGAGAAGCAAGATATTCCTACTTAAGAATTTCCTGATCCCACAAAAGCCCATGTTTCCAACAGCAAATCTTGGTTGCTGTTGACCCCCCTGCAAAAAGTTTAACTTTTCGGGGGTTTAGTGGAAAACACCTTGAATTTCAACCAAAAGTTAAAGTCTAAAGATCCAACCCAATAGCAATCAAGAAACGGAAGCAACAGCTTCACAGCTTCGCGCTGGGCGCCCGGGCCAGCGAGGCCAGCGGCAAGGCGATCTTCGGCCTCGAGATCGGGGCGGAGCAATGCCCACGGGGCACCCAGAAAGGGAGCGGAGGGAGCCGCTGATTGAAGGGCTTGACAAAAAAAGGGGGCTTTTTGAGGTTCAGTTCAAAAAGCGAGTATTTTTGTGTTTTCTCTCTCTCTCTCTCTCTGAACGTGGAAGCTCCCAGAAAGCCTCTGTGGAGCAAAGGGGTCCTGGGAGCTTGTTAGAGTACCGTGATTCAAGGTCTCTCTCTCTCTCTCTCTCTCTCTCTGCCATTCGTCCAGAGGGTCTTGACTCAAGGCCGCGAAAAAGGTGCCCACTGATAGTTAGGGGCATCTGCCACATTTTGCGAGTCCAAAAGGTTGAGTTGAGAATTCGATCTTCAAGAAAAGGACCTTAAGCGTGGCGAGCTCGTTATACCCCGAATTGATCACCTCGCTCCATAAATGATGCATCCAGGGAGTGGTTCCTCCCACCAATGGGTCAAACGGGGCACCTATAGCAGAAAATAACCTGCCACATCCTGCCACACATGTTTAACGCCCAACGACATGGAACAACATTTTGCTCAATAGGTCAATTCGCGAACGGGGCATAGCCCGCCGATTCGCCCGCCTTGCGGTCGGCCGAGAGGGCCTTCCTAAAATCCGAATCTAGCCAGTTTTTTCAGGTAGGGTACGAATCCAACCACTTGTTTCACAGTATGGTAGGCCATGATCTCAACTCAACTCAAAAACAGGCTGGTACTCGTGGAAAGCCAGTTCTTGTTTCCCAAGAATCCCTTGGCCCTTGGCCAAAAAAGAGAGCATGCGGAGGGGGAGAAGCAACTGGAGGAAAAGCATCCCGTCTCGCAGAAACTCGCCGCGGGCCGGGCGCCGGGCTCGCTCTCTTCCACGCCCCTCACGATGGGGGAAGCCAGCAACGACTTGAAGCAGGACCTGTGCATTGGATGTGAGGGATGGCCAGCACGAGCTGCTCTTGATTTGGGCAGGTTGACCTTACTTGGTGGTTTGGATTGGTGGCTTGGGATTTGACACCCTGGTAGATGGGAAACCACCTGAAGCTCATTTCTGGGGCCCTCAACTCCCCGCCGAAAAAAAAACCGAGTGATCCCACAACCCTCAGAGGAGATGACTGCAAAGAGATCAGATTTGATCGGTGCCCCGGCACAAGCAGCATCTTGAAGTCTTTGGCTTCGTCTGCTTCCAGGACCTCTGTGACCTCGGGCACGACTTAAAACTCTCTGCCTGCCATTCCTCATGCCGTCAGAGCTTCCGACGAAATGGCTGATGAAGTTGGGGATGCAGCCAGCATGGACATCCTGAACAGGGAGCATGCGTTGCGTGCGTACCCCCCCCCCCCCCCCCGGCACCCTTCAGCAAGCTGCTGTCGCTTGGCCCGCCTTCTCTCGATCCTCCGTGTGCCCTCCCCGGTCTTCCTGCCAAAGCAGCCCCTTCTACTCGCACAACCACAGAGCAAGCCCGAAGCGGTTTGCAAGATCAGCACATAGCACATCCGGAACCCCGATCTCAGTTTTCCCTAAAAAAAGTCTGAACGTGTTGGTACCACGAAGCCAGGAAGTGAACCCGTTGCCGTCGGCAAGCCAGCGCACAGCGACAAATTTTCAGTCACCAGCAATGGACTTATTTTTGCCTGCCTTCTGGAGGGTCCCCCCATATCCCTAGACCCCAAAACGAACATGGGAGTGAAGGAAATCCCCCCACTCCATCGGTCACCAGAAGCCCGTCCAAATCCCCCAATTCCTCTTCCCGCAATTGGGCCGCCCAAACGATCCCCGTGAAAAGTCACACAAACTTCTAGTCCAGAAGGCTAAGCGACCGGACGACCGGATGGCTGGGCTTGCCACCAAGGCAACTAAGTGACCCCCTTGTTGGGCTTCGCACCCCAGGTGGGCGGTGTTGCTTCGCACCTTGAGACAGGCGCGCTGGAAGGCCGTGAGCTCATTCTGGAAGTTGTAGAGGGAACTCTTGGCGGCCGCGCGGCCTGCGGGGCATTGCGGGGCCACAGAAAGTCGCCTAGCCCCCAACCCCTTGGCCATGCCCTGGCACAGGAAGAAGTCTTGTTCTAGGGGTACCTTCCATTTCCATTCTAAACCCAGGGATCCGAGATCTTTTCAGGAAACCATCAAAAACCCGGGTTGGAAACAGCCGGCTTTTGAAAAGAATGATGGTTGAAACGAATGGGGAATCGACCCCTAGACTTGTGCAGAACATCCCTTCAGATTTGGAAAGTCAAAGAGCTATGGTGTGTCAACCTAGCCGCCCCTTTTCCACCTGGAGTCTGACAGAAACTCCGAGCAGCCATATGGTGTGTCTCTTGAATTGGGAAACTAGTCCATGTTGTTTGGGCCAAAAAAAGGAACACCCGCCCATTAAATGGCCCTTTTAAAAAGACACATCCCTTATCTGAGTGGCCGGATGTCCAACCTTGGGAACCTGTAGCTTCCTGCTGCTTGCCAGAATTGACCCGAGGAGCTCGTGGACCCGCAAAGGACATATCGAGCTGGCAGATCACTGGGAGGGCCAAAGCGAGATTGCTGGCCCCAAAAATGGCTCCGACTGCCCAAGAGGAGATTCCTCTACCGATGGTTTTCGGGTCCCTTCCGTTCATCTGCAGTGTGAGCCAAACTTAGATCGCCTACTTCAGCTGCCGCTCGGTCCGCGTAGGCCTTCTTCAGTAGCTCCTGCGCAAGGTGAGCAATCAAGAAATGTTGATTTGGAGTGTCGCTCTTGACTCTTCTGATGGGAGCAGCTCTTCTTTTTTAATTGGGGATGCTTCACTTTGCCAGCGTTCCCGCGGCCCCCTGTATGAGACACGGTCAAGGACATGAGCAAATGAGAGGAGAAACAAAGAAACGACTCCCTCCCCAGTCCCCACCGCTCGTGGACTCGGCTCGGAACTCCGTGAGACCAGTCAGCTTCACCCTTGGCACATCTGGGAACTGGGAATTCGCAGATATATATGGGTCTGTCTTGAGGGTTCCCTTGAAACAGGGAAACACACAAACTGCAAAGCACTCAATGACTCACTGACGAACTTTTGGTGGACAAAAATGGAAGACCAACCACTTAAGACAACCAAAACGATCCAAGAAAGACCTAAGGAACCGGATGGCTCGTGAACCCAGGTGTCACGACGCAACATTTACCATTTAACTACCCCTAAAAAGAGAACCCGCCTCATCATCTTGAGGCCACCTTTTCTTTGGGGTGGTTTGAGGGTCCAGGTAGAAAAAACACGGTTTCCGTCGAACACGCACCAAGCAAAATGGGTCCCCAGGTCCTGATACTCGAAGTAGTGGGTGGTGAAGACCCCGGTCACCGCAGGGTGCTCGGCATCATCCCCACCCCCCGAGATCCGAGGGGTCTCGCCATCCTGCCGCATCTTCCGTGCGTCTCCAAGCATTGGATTTGGAGCCCCACCGTTTGGGGGTTGGTTGGGCGGCTATTTGGTTGGTGCGGCTTGCTAGGCTGGCTGTCCGGTTGGTTGCTTGCTTGGCTGCTTGGTTGGTTGCTTGGCTGCTTGGTTGGTTGGTTGGTTGCTTGCTTGCTTGCTTGCTTGCTTGCTTGCTTGGATGCTTAGTTGGTTGGTTGGTTGGTCTTGCAACCAAGGAAAGTAGCGTACCCTTAAAACAAAAACAGCCCTTTTTCGCCCACAGATGACCCTCCGGCATGATCCGCCGGAGAGCATGGATTTCTAAACCAGCAAACCTTGCTTGACGGGAGCAGGCACCGGTTGGCTGCAAACGGTCATTGGCTCGCATATTGACATATTGACGGGTATCGACTCCGACGGATTGGATGTGAAAGTTCCGTTTCGCATTCTGGTGAATTTGGTGTGCACATGCATGCGCAGTACATATCTGATGATATGGGTGTGGGTTGAAATTAAAGAGCTAGGGTTACGCAGTGTTAGTCTTAGTTTCCATTTACTAGGGTTCCATTTTGGGTACCCATTTTTGACCCACAGCCATATCTGTGTCAACCGGCAGTGTGAGGAGATCTTGAGGCCGTTGAGAAACTTGAACGCTGCATCTCAGGCCCAGGATTTGTTTTTACCAGGTCAACCTGTTGGAATCTTGACTGGGTCCTCCAGTAGTAGAGAGGTTAGAATAAGGGTACCCACTGTTTTTCGTTTTTGTCTATTTTAGTAGGGGAACCCTCCCCTCCCACAAAAGAAGGGGAAACGGGCACTGCTGGGGGACCGAGGACACAAGTTGACTTTGTGCGGGCCGAGGACACTACAAGGTCAAAAGCCCGAGGAAACTAAAAGGTCAAAAGGTCAGCTTTGGGCAAGTGAGGTACTTGTCGAGAATCATAGTTAGGAGCACGGGTTCCCCTTCTTGCTTTCATGTGTTCCCTCCTCCTCTATCTCTTTCTTCTCTTTCTCTTTCCTTTTCTCCTTCTCTCCCTGTTTCTCTTCATCTTCCACAGTTTGCGCTTCTCTGTCTGCTTCTCTTCCTCGTCTTTCTCTTCTTCTTTCTATGCCTGTGTCTCTGTCTCCTTCTCTGCTCTTTCTGTTTCGCCTTCTCTTTCTATCTCTCCTTCTCTTTCCGTTTCTCATTCTTCTCGTTCTCTTTCTCTGTCTCCTCCTCGTCTCTCCTTTCTGCATTCCCCGTTCTGTTACAAAGGAAGCTCACTGCAAATCGACTTTGAATCCTGACCATTCCCGAATTGTTCTGCAAATCTTACTGTTTAACAAAAAGAACGCAATCTGCATATTGTAGAGGTTATTTCTGATATTTATGCGTTCAATTTCTCTGAACAAGGTGTCCCTGTTGACCATATTCGCCAGGACACAATCCCTGGATGCATAAGTTTTGGCGAGCTCACCGATTACGGGGAGGAGTAAAACGAGCTCACCATCATAAAGATCCTTCTTTGCGGGCTCCCTTTTTCGAGGTTTGGACATTCAAAAAGTCGTCTTCTTGACCATGGTACTTGTCACAGTCCTTCTCCTTCTCCTTCACCCCTTCAGGATTCTCAAGGAATCCCGAAAACGGAAAAACAACAACAAACAAAAAAAGCAACAACTGGCCTTCTTGACCATGGTGTAGTGGATGATGATGGACACCAGCGAGGTTTCGATCTCCGGGTCCAAGACCGGCAGCGCGATGCCGCCCACAAAGGCCGGGTGCGTGGCCATCCTCGCGCGCGCGGGCGGCTCGGCCGAAACCCGGGGGGACGCGTCCCCCGTAGTTTTGGGGGGACCCCTCGTGTTTTTGTTGGGTGACTCCTCATGTTTTTAGGGGGATCACCCAGGTGGGCGTGGGCCTTTTTCCCCATGTTGTTTGTGACTTCCCTTTCGGTTCTGCTATAAAAACCACGCAACACAAGTGGTACCCTCAAAAAACACAGACCCAGATCGACTTTGGGCAACACAGTTTCGGCCTAAAATTGTGAAATGCCGAAGTCCAATGACCACGCGAATATGTAAGGAACGACTTGTTGGTCAAGCGGACCAAGAGCAAGAACACAAATGAGAACTGGACTCGGTTTTCAGCGCTACCCCAGCTTGGCTTCCTGGTTTCCGTCGACCGAATCTACCAATAGGCGTCGCCTGCATTCCAATGTTGACCAAAACCTGGTCAAAGTCTACGGAGCCTGCTCGACATGTCAATGTGTCTTTTTAGCGAGGGCGTTCGATCCGCGCAGATTGGCTGCTGCCCCCTTCCAAAGTTCATTGGTGACCAATGACCTAGGTCCTCCAGTAGAGAGGTTAGAGTAAGGGTACCCTTTTTTCTGTAGTCTATTTTAGTATGGGGAACCCTGCCATCCACAAAAGGGGTGAGAAATTCATGTTCTACGGCTGACTCATTGGATGAGACCCTTCATTCAAAATCGAACAAACAAATATATAAAAAAGTGGCTTGCCCCAAGCCACGCCCAATCAAAAAATGACGTTCCACATGGGAAAGCTGTGGGACTGGAACCCCCTCCAAAAATGTCTTGAAAAAGGAAGCCACCCACTGGCTGTCAGGGTGTCCTCACTTGCCCCTTGGGGACCTGGCAAAAAAAACAACAAACTGATCATCTGTTGTGACCTCAGTAGTTTAAATGACACATGTGGGGAATGAACCGGCACAAACAATTCCCCATGGACCCCCCTTTTAGGAAAACTGGGCCAGCCTCAAATCCCCTGCTAAAAGTGACTAACTTTTAGTGGGTGAAATGGAAACTACCACTAAACACTAAAAAGCGCCCATGTTGGGAATGAACCGGAACGGACAATTCCCCAAGCACCCCCCTTTTAGGAAAACTGGGCCAGCCTCAAATCCCCCGCTAAAAGTGACTAACTTTTAGTGGGTGAAATGGAAACTACCACTAAACACAAAAAAGCGCCCATGTTGGGAATGAACCGGAACGGACAGTTCCCATGGATTCCCCTTTCCCGGAAACTCTAGGCTAGGTGCTCCAGATTTGAGAGGTTAGAATAAGGGCACCAACTTTTTTCGGTCTAGTTTAGCAGGGGAACCCTCCCGGTAAAAGTTGGCATAGCTGGGGGACCTAGTAGGGGGTTGGTTTTTCTCAGTTGCCCAAAGGACCCAGGACTACAAGGTGATCACCCTTTTGGCACCACTACTCAAATTGAAAATGGGAAAACCAAAAGGTCAGATCCGGTCGATTCGCTTTGGACCACTGAGTTTTTGCTTCGACCCACCTCCGAAAAACTCCGAGGCCCCCGGCTGACTGAAGAGCGCCGCGGCGTGGGACTTGATGGGGTCGAAGAGCTCCGTGATGGCGCGCGCCTGTAGCGCGAAGCACCGGGCAGGCGGGCGGAAAATCGCCCGACTCCGAAGACCTCTTCCGTTTTTTTTCTGAGTTGGGAGGGTATTTCTTGGAACATGTTTCTTTGTGGGGGGGGGGCGGGGATACTTGTTTTTACCTCTTTATTCTAGACTTTTGGAAAAAACCTCGACTTCTTGGGGTCTCCGAGTGATTTTTCTCCCCCGGAGGCTCTGGGGGTTTGGGAGGGTTCCGGGAGTCCAGGGCGGTTGAAAATTCTCCCGGGCTTCTTCTTTCAACGGGGGGGGTGGATTTAAGGGACATTCATCCATACTCTTTAAATCGGGGCGGGGGGTAGTTTCTGGTGTATTTTCTTATTATTACTATTTTTTTTTTTGGGGGGGGGGTATTTTTTGGTGTATTTATTATATTTTTACTCGGGTTCCTACTTTTCGCCAGTGTAAAAACAAAATCAAAGACATGTGTATGCATCAAAACAGTTGCTAGCTAAATGCATATATATATATATATACACAACACATACATAGACAGACACAGACAGACAGACAGACAGACAGACAGACAGACAGACAGACAGACAGACAGACAGACAGATACAGACAGACAGACAGACAGACAGACAGACAGACAGACAGACAGACAGACAGACAGACAGACAGACAGACAGACAGACAGACAGACATACACACACACATACATACATACATACATACATTCACACGCACATACACACATACAAACTAGCGTGCGTATATAGATAAAACAATTACACATGTGCAGTTCAAGGCATGTAAGAACTTAGGTCTTTTAGGGTGGGTTAGAAGGGAACACATTTAAGGGAAAACCGGGGCCTTGTTTGGGGGGCCCAAGTTTAAGACAACCACATCGATTTTTGGGGACGCTTTTGGGATGGTCAAGAAACGGACGCCGAATGCCTGACACTTGATACTTGATACCATACTCCCTGCGCGCGCAGGAGATTCCTTCGTCCCCACAACATTCTGGAAACCCATCTCTCAAAATGCAACCCTCGCAATGGACCAGTGTGTTTTTGTGGTAATTGGGGCTCGCGCCGCCCATGTCATTGGAATTTTAGATGTTGTCTCCTTGGCTTCTCCAAGCCAGCATCCTGGTTCTCCTGTTCCTCCTTTGGGTATGTGTCCATTTGGGGAGCCCAACAAAATATGGTCGTGTTCCTTGTGGGTTCCCTTGATACCAATGTGAAAAGGGTACTTCACCCAAGCCCTTTCAACCCTGAGCAGTCAGCGTTTTTTCTGGCGAGGCAACTGCGTCAGACTGAGAGCGGCGGCTCCACCTGCGCGCACTTCGCGCACTTCTCAAAAAAACCCTTAGAGATGGCTTGAGCCCCGTTCCCCTCTTTTGTGGATCTGTGCATGCACAAAGAAACCCCCTCTGATTGGCGCCAGAACACAGAAACAGCTGGAGCGGGCCTGGGCTTGCGTCAAGTAAGGCTCGCATCATCGGGCGCCATTTCTTGGCATCTGCTTTGACGTACCTGGTATGATGCGCGCGCAAGCTTCAGCCGTGAGGAATTCATGAACAGAAAGCCCACTAGGATGCCCAGCACAAGCTAAATAGACCCCTCCTTCTCCCGCCTTTGGTGGACACCTAGACTCCCAGCTGGGGCCTCTTGGTTTATGGGCTTTTGACACGAGTCCGAGTGCGCCTCAAAAACTCAAAGGGCAAATCCAATTCCGAAAGGCTTCGTTGAGCACGGAATGCTTTTCACTCGTCAAACTCCACTCTGACTCCTGCGCTGGCCAACGCCGGCAAAACACAATCCCACAATGCAGCGTAGAAGTCATCAGGCTCTCTGGCATCAGTCTGGCGCAAAGCTTTCAGAGCGTCCTTGGACAGCAGCTTGGAAGGCCTGACTGCAACTGGAGACATCATCCATGACTTGGTCATGGACTCCGCCTTCTGACGGTGCCTGTGCAGCACTGCGCTCGGCCCGAGACCAGAGCGCGCCGCCGTTGTCCGGCGGGAGACAAAGAAGCGCAGCTGCCCTTTGCCTCGCTTCCGGAAGTATTCTGACAGGACCTTCAGCAAGAAAGGCCACGACTCAGGCCGACCGTCCACCCCGTAGAAGCGAAGCAGCGCTGCCTCCACCAAGGGAGCGGTCCGCAGAGGTCGTCCGACAGAGTGCTTCTTCTCCAGGTAGCGCATGATGGAAACCGCTGATTCGCAGATTGCTTCTGACGCAAAGCCCCACACGTGCAATCTGTGAAAAAGCCTCAGCACATGCCAGTAATGTCTGGCTTGCGTGTAACTCTGCTGCACGATCAGACTATGCAGATGCTCATCCCATTTGAGAACCTCTGACTTCTGGAACTTCTCCGCCGCACAGGCGGCGCTCGAAATCCGGACGGCCACATTGCGAAACACAAGGAACTGCTCCTGCAGCTCTGGCTCAGATGGCTGTGCAAACATCTCCTCTGGCGGATTCACCAAATGTCGCACAGCGCCTGGCTGAAGACCCCAAAGGTATGGTCCGAAGGCTCTGGCAAGTTCGCGCAGGGCAGTCTTCCACAGCTCGTCGTGTGTCTGCAGACCATGCAGAAGTTGTCTGGCCAGGAACAAGTACGCAGCGCAACTGGAGAGCTGGCTCCTCTGACCTGGCTTCAAAGACTGACCTTTCGCGACATAGCAGGTGTTGCCGGCAATCATGTTTTGCCATAGACGGCGGTCCGAGGCCTGGCTGCTGGCAATGACAACCTTTTGCCCAACTCGCCTTAGAGAATTGGCTTCGCCTCTCCTAGCAGGCCCGTCTGACACCTCTGGCATGGATGGAAAAGCGAAGAGCGCGCGCGAAGACCCTGCAGCAAGCTGCTGCACGCCAGGGTCTTGCGCCCACTTATCAACTTTCAGCTCCAGCTCTTGCAGCTTTTTCACCTCGCCAGAAGAGCTTGCTCCCTTCGCCTCCTCCGTGCCTGATTCGCTTGATGAGGAGTTGTCGGAGTCGGAGGAGCTGCTGTCTTCAGTCTCAGAGGAGTCTGACCCCGGGCAGTCCAACTCCGGGCCGGCATCACTCTCAGGATCCTTTTGTCTGTGCATGCCTTTATGTGTCAAGAACCATTTTGGCATATTGGCGTCTGGCCACAAGCAGCGACATCGAAAGAAATGCGCCTCTTGCTTGGCCCACTGCTTCACTCTTTCCAGCGCGGCAACGGCTGTCTTGCAAATGTAGGTGCGTGTTTCTGCCTGACAGGGGGTACACAAGATGCGCGTGTGTCAAAGCAACAGGCTCTGCATCAAGCGTAGCGCTGGCACATTTGGAGGGGGCCCGCGACAAGCAATTGGGGGCGAGAAAAGGCTGTGAGGGTGATCTTGCGAAAGATGAGGGGTGTAAAGCTCCTTCCAGCAATCCTCCCTGACCGCACAGTAAACCTAAAATGTGTGCGTCTCAGCCTTTCCCAAGCTTCAGCAAAAAAACAAAAAACAATAGGGCCGGGGGGGGGCAACTTGTGACCCTGTGTGTGTGTGTCAAAGTCCATGGGTTGGGTTGGGGCAATTCGGTCTGGCCCTACAGATCGGCCCCGGCGCCTTCGTCTTGTGCTTGGGCGGTGCTCCGGGCTCCGACAGCGGCCAACGTTCATGTGGGCGAATACCCAAGGAGACTCCTTGAACAGTCCGGTAAAACATGAGCTCAGTCAGAAGTCTGACTGACCGCGGGTATCGTCTCCACGCCAGTCTGACAACCATCCAGCCACTGAACTGCGTGATGCACTGCTGGAAGTAACGCGCGGCCCACCTGTCCGTGTTGTCTGCAATCAGGAAAGACTCCAGCCGGCTCCAAAACCACACTGCGTTCTGTAAAGCTGCAAAAGTAACTCTGTCTTCGGACATGGCGAGGAGGGCCTCCACTGCCAGAGTAAACTTCACATTGTTGGGCATGGCGCTGCTCTGACCGTGGGCAGCAACAGCTAGCAAGTTCTGACGCCTGTGCTCATAATGAAAAGAGCAGAAAATGAGCATTGGGGCGTCTAGCAGGTCACGCCCGAACTGGCGCGCCTCCTTGGCGTCCGCAGTCTTCAGGCCACAAATCTTGCTAGGGTTTTTGGCTTTCCGGCGGGTGTTTTCGATGGCCTCTGTCTGGCAGAAAATCGCGCCGCTGTGCAGAACCGGCAAGTTCTGGAAGAGGTTCTGGCAGGCAGTGGCGCTTGCGCCATTCCATGTCTACACTCACAACAATGAGAATGAAGCTATGCCCTTGCGAGTCACAGAATCATGATCCAATGATGAGTTAAACACGCAGCTGCCCTCAACATCGTGCGGACAACACGCAGCTTCTCGATTTGTCACCCCAGCAGTCCTTTGGCACTCTGGCTGACGTGTAGGTAACCATCCGGGTTGATGCAGAGACCGGAGCCAGCAACCCCACCAAGGGAAGGCCTAGCCTCTTTGAGAGTGCCTGGGCGTGCGGGCTGCTCTGTGGCTGACGCACGAAAGTGCTCAAAGTAATCTCCTCCCCCTATTAATGAATGACCCCCATTAATAATAAATGCAAATCCGGGGCCCGAGACCAGATTTCCACTCCACACAATTGATTTTCCATTGCGCCAATACTACACCAATACTAAAGTCTGGGAATCCTTATTAGGGGGCACTTTTAGCAAGCTTCCAGCCTCACTTTTCAAAAGGTGGGTTCCTCAATTCCCCAAAAGGTTGCTTCCCCAAAAGCTGGCTTCTCAAAAGGTTGGGTTCTTTTGGTGGGTTCCCCCAAAGGTTGTTCTTGACTCTGTTGTCCCTGGCTGTCCCTGACTCCCTGGCTGGCTGCGTTTGTCACCTGGCTGCGGTCTGTAAACAAATAGAATGATACATCAAATTTCCTTATTAAACCGCTTACTTGCGGACCTTACAATTCAATCCATTTCCTCCAAATCCTATGTGAACCCTCACATTGTTGGAAAAGCAAAAAAACCAACCCCAAAAACCCAAATTAAAAAAAATACATGTTTGGGTGGGTTTATTTATAATAAGGGGGGGGTATTTTTTTTATTAGGGGGAACGGATTAGACACATCGCTCGGAAATTGCAAATTCAAGTGGGTCGGTTTTAGAGGTTGCTTTGATACGCTGAAGGCCATTCTCAAAAGCTAAATGCGCTGGGTTGATTTTGCAGCCAAGCCACTCGAATGACAATCTTGCCCTGCCCGAGTTGAAACAGCCTCCTTGCCTTCAAGGCAACAGCTTCCATCTGACGTAAAAAGCCAGGGCTCGCCTTGCTCTTCGATTTCTCTTGCGCGTCACTGTGAGCGCCACTTTTCTCGCAAGCGTGAAACCAGTCCAGCGAGCCCCACTCGCACAAGCTGCTGCGTTGCTCCAAAGACAATCTTCTGGCCAGAAGATTTCCGCATCCAGGTTGGCAGGTGTTGAACGGCCCTTCCAGCAAGCCATCGCCGGCAAAAACGGCAAACCTCAGCTGCAGCTCTGGCAATGTCATGCCAAACTTCTCGGTTGTGGCCAGTAAGTTGTCAACAAGCCGGGCTCCCGAATGCAAGTCCAAGAGCGGCGGGGCCGTAGGGCGATGTCTGGCCCTCTTGTCTGGCTCCAGAAGGGTGGCTAGGAGAGCATCCTCTTTTGGTGTATCTCTGCTGGCCACGTCCTTTGGTGGCAGAGGCGGCTCGGTCGTTTGGAGCGGGGTGGCATCAAGCAGTGACACTACTGGAGAGCCACAATTCGCGTACACCATCTGGATTTGCAGCGATTCGCCGTTTTTCAATGTTGCACCATCAACGGTAAAGGCCAGGTCTGACGGCAGCCTCAGCGCCTTCAAGTTCTGGTTCAAATTGTGCGCCACAAAAATGCGAGTAGCCTTGACAGCTTCTGCCACGATCCCTTTCGCGAATCTCTCAGAATGCTGTATCTGGCCGAACTCACCAGGCAGAGATGCGTCTAGCATGCTCAATACTTCTGTGTATGTGTGCACAGAGCCCTGGGAATTGAGGCAAAGGGCTAAGCTCGTAAGCCTGAGGCCTACAAGCCTCTCTTGGTCGTCTGGCCCCACAACATGGAGCCCCTTGTAAGGGCATCGCTGATTGGCATGCGACTTCGAATCCA